AAAATATCCATTTTAAGAGAGTCACGTTATTTTCAAATGACTTGTGATAATGAATCTATATAACTAAACTGGTCGCTCACACAAGGGCACAGAATCACTTCTAACTCCTACCTTTACCCATTTGTCTTTGTTTGGCAACATCGCGTATTTATTACCATACCAAATAGTCAAAATACCTGTGAATACCTCATAAGTGATTGGATACCTGCTGTGAAAAATCGAACTCACTGTGTGCACAGCAGTTTAGTTTTCATTAGTTTTCTTTAGGGTCGATTTTTTTTATTTCTTTGTTTGAAATTATAATTAGAGCAGTGTACGTAATAGCGTTTAGATGAGATATGCAGCACATGCTGTTTAGATATTATAATAGCGGAAATAAAAACGAAAGAAAATTAAGAATTTAATACAGCTCTGTTTATAAAATATACACTTGAGAATTGATGATATTCCATGGTCTCGATAAGAAATTCACGGAAATAACCAATTAATCTCACTATCCATATATATAGCAACAAATACTTAAGAAAGTAACATCTTTTGAGATTGTACATGATAAACTTATATATGATTAATTTCTATAATTTTCTATAATTGTGAACATAAATTATTCACTTATACTAATGATATAATAGATGAGAAGTAGATGATGAATATGATAATTAACGAGATGTAGGTATGTATAAGGAGACAAAATAATTGCATTGAATGTTCGTCGCGTATACATATTTCAACAAAACAGTGTTTTTGTATTTCAAATGCGATATAAATGTTTTTAATCAATAATAGATGAACCGTGCAAAATATATATTTGCTCAAAATTCTAGTGTTTTATTAAATTATTAAAATGATTAAAATACATTCGGTGAACTGGGACCGTATATGCAATCAAAATCATAAGAAATTAAATAAACATATTGTTTTTTAATTTTTTGTTTCTCATAGAAAGAGGAAATCATTTCGGGCACCGACGAGATTGTTAAAATCATTAACCCTGAACAAATTATCATGACATATTACTCAAGTAGCAAAGATGACGTCTAAAGACATCTTATTGACGTCATAGCCCAGACAGCTGACAGCACCATGTCTAAAATTGGGACATAAGTTTTGGACAAGTGTGCTGTATGGGAGACGTCATTTATAAGACATTATTATTAAGACATCATTTGACGTGTCACTTTGCTACCTGGATAAAGGGGAGCTCGGAGATAAGAATATCGAAATGAAGAATATCGATATTATCGACGATAGATATACATTTTTCGATTATTAACAAATGTATCTGAATAATTAGTTTTTATACAGTAATTAAATTCATGATTTATTATAATGTAAAAATGCTTCATAAATAAAATGCACATTATGACGCAATAATATCATCGTCTATTGCCAAAACTACTTTTTCCTTTTTACGTATCTATTATACGTGTTTATATATAAAACAATCTGAGATAATAATAAATTATATGAGATTAGTATTATACCTATATATATCTAATAAATTTCAATATTTACGCGAACGCGCGAATCTATATAAGATTGTCGGGTCGATTATTGTCGGTCTTTTTATGATAGTATCTCGAATTGTTTCGGTATTTCGGGACAGAATCGAATTCGAAGATTGTGTATGTAACATGTTACCCGTTGAAAATATTCCTGGACACGACTATTATACGGTAAAAGTAGTAGTGCACATAGAGGTCCCAGTGGACGGGTTCCATTTTCCATTATACTTCCATTAAAACGCGGGTAATGTGGGCTTGCTCCGCATGCTTGCTTTCGGATTTCTCTGTGGTAGATGCCTCTAATTTTCTTAATTTTAATTTTAAATTTTGATAATTATTATCGTTACTCTATCATTTATTTAAAAAATTAATAAATTCGTTCTGTGTGAATGTTTAATATTTACATCGTAAAATTCGAAAATTGTATTGAGGTTATATTCAAGTCGTGTGTCCATCAATTTTAAAAATTAATTTCTATAACAATATACCTTTTTAAATAATTGGCTCCATTAATTAAATTAAATGAAAGACTATAAACACATACATTAAATTAATCCATAAATGCATTATAGTGAAAACTTATAAATTTTTATATTTGTTACATAGCATTCGTCAGCTGTTATTTAGTCAAAAGAATTGTATTAATGAGAGAAAGATAACATATAAGAAATTGTAGTAAAACAATGAAATTTTTCACTGATTCTGTAGCACGTTGTGCTGCACGAATTGGTACATTAAATGGATTTGAAAGATTACCAAATGTTTCTTTCGAAACACCATTACTTCTTATTTACACAAAGGTATGAGATGAATAATTCTTCCTCTCTTATAATAATAATTATTTTTTTACATCAATATAATTTTTAGGGCGGCAGTGTACCACATTTAACAAAAGACATTTTTAAAAATGTAACAATGGAGGAACAACTGTTATCTGTCTCGCTTTCCTCAACGATATTAATGAAAGATGTTATTAAAGAGTTGGACACTTCTTTTGCCGATTTTGTTAGTATGAAGGTATGGCAGAAACAAAATTATGGGACTATCAATATGCATTGAAATTTCAAAATTGTCAATTATCAAAGGACTTTGTTGCAGGAATATATAAATTTGTTATCAATACACGATCCTGCGTATACCACCAACTCTGGCTTTCAGCAATTAGATTCCATTTCTGTCTGGTCCAGAACAGGAAGAACTGTTGTTTCGGCTAGTAAATATATGGAACTTGTGCAAGCTTACAAACCAGATCTATACGTTGCTTTATGCGACGGAGATACAAATGTTAATAGCAGTGCGAAAAGAGTGTCGAAGGCGGTGCGTCGAAGTAAAACTTTACTAGAACAATGTTTAGATATCCATTTGCGCTCGGATGCTTTGAAGTCGAAGGGAATACTAGGACCAGTGGAAGGTGGTTATAATTTACAGGCTAGGGAAGAGTCCATAGATTATCTAAAAGATAAGCCTTTGGCAGGATTTGTAATAGATGGACTACATAACAATGGACCAAGTGTACAGAACATTTCATCAGAACAAATTAAACAAGTAGTACGACATACCATCGTAAGTACCAGTTTCAAATTTAAAAATTTATACAACTTACACGACTGAAAGTACTTCAATATGCTGTAAACATTTTACAGAATTTATTGCCCACCGATAAAATAAGAGTGTCAATGGGTTGTTGGAACCCAGCTACTGTATTGGATCTCATCGAATTAGGAGTAGACGTATTTGATTCGTCCTATCCGTACGTTATTACCGAACAGTCACAAGCTTTGACTTTCATGTGTGAGCATGACACTGCTGAGAATAATCAATATGCAATGTCAATAGCTGAAAAGAGGTAAGGTGAAAAACGAAACGTTCGTATTTCAAATAAATGTATAATGTAAAAATATATAAATGTATAAACATAATGCTGTTTCGCATATTTTCTTTTTCTAGGTATGCAGACGACTTTTCTCCTATTTGTAAAACATGCGAATGTCTTGCGTGTCAAAATCATTCGAGAGCGTATATCCATCATTTGCATCATACCAAGGAAATGCTTGGTTTAGTACTTTTAATGATGTACGTATTTATATATTGAATTAATCAATCTCGCACATATATATTAACAATTAGTTGTGGTTTCAGACACAATATCCATCATTATCTTCAGTTCTTCAGTGTCATTCGTGATAGTATAAAAAATGGTACATTCAATCAATTTCAGGCGAAAATTCGTCTAAAATATGCAACTACTAACTCTGAATCCACCACTGTATGAACATTATTTAATAAATTATTTGTTATATGTACAATGTATTTCATTTGGAATAAATTTATTTATTCGGGTTATCCGGGCAGGAAATTTGGATCGAGATAATTGTAGGAAGAATCATTAAAATTTTGTGGAAGATAATCTATATCATAACTTCTAGTACACAGTAGTGGTTTTATGGGAATTAACCTATGGGATGGATCGTGTGAGGGATTTTCTGCTTCCAATTGTGCTAGTGCGCAATTACCACATAAATCAATTCCACCAAGACATTCTGCACAATGCCATCTGGTACCCTTTAAAGGTTCCTCACCACACACTGTACACTGTAGAAAAAAATATCATTGATGAGCGATAGTTCTCTCTATGTACAATAGCTGTATAAAAAGAATAGTACTTTGTATCCAATATGTTTGTATGCAGGAGAGTCCTGTTCCTTTTCAGTCTTTACTTGGCGCAATAAATGTATCTGCCTTAACTCGGGATTATCATCACTTCCTCCGTTTAGTGTATCATCCTCCTGGAAAGAATAATAATATTAACAACTTTTCAATATCTCACTTTATATAAAACAATAATTTACAGTGCTTACAGATTCCTCTGCTACAGGCTGTTCCCTAATCTCATCTGACGAATTAAAGGAAATATCTTGATGTGGAAAGAACGTCGAGCGTTTAAATAAGAAATGATTGTTACGCTGTTTATGAGTTAAACTTCTCTTGACGTCCAGCTTTAACTTAGGTCCTCTGCCTGGTATGGGTAAACCTGCTCTTAAGAGCTTAATGAAGTACTTCTGAACTCTACTGGATACTTGCTTAGGCGTACGATTTCCTACAAAAATAAGCCAGTTATAAACATCTCACTTGCAAAGCAATATATGTTATTAACATACCTAATGCATTCGCTATCTTGGTCCAACGTCTCATTTCTATTTCTTCTGGTGGATACACAATTAAGAGTTCTTCGAGTCGCCTTTGCTCCTCCACTGTCCACAATTGATTGAAAGTCTCGGGCTTACTCTCATCGAAGGCACGACCTCTGACCAAAATCTGTGAAAAGAGACAATTAAATACAGGGGTTTCTTTTCAAATGTACGTAACGTCGATACATACCTTCCCATTTTCCTGTTCGGTTTTTGTTTGCATTTGAGGCAACACGTGTCCATGTCGAGTTTGCGGCCTCATCCGTACGTCCGGCACTGAAACGTTGTATCGCGACCAATCGATGTAGGGAATCTCAGCGATCTTCTGCGGACCAGGTAGCTCTGGAAGATCACCGTTTTGCAGCTGTGCCACGAACGATATCGGATCCTTCAGCGCCTCGGCACGCACCGACATAAGCTTGTCCAGATCTTCTATGGCTTGAACTCTCTGAGCCTCAAGAATAACTATCGTTTTCAGGAAGGCACTGTAATCCTTGTTGCCCTTCAGTGCCAGGTGATCGGATTCGAAATAGAATTCGTTCTCCTCCTCGTTCGGCAAACTCCTTTTGGCATCATTCATTCTCGATTCATTCGAATCTACAATAAACGGAGATACATACGCTTGTACAAATCTACAGATCTCTAGCGTATTCGAACACAACGTTGCACGTGTCGATATGATGATCTAACCTCACCTAACTAAACTGACAGTACAGACAGTACCTGGAGGGTTGAAGGCGTTAACGCTCCTAACCTAAAAGGAGCAGAACAAAAAAACTGACAGTATTGACAAGACCGTGGTACTGACACTAGTATCACTACATCCGACTCTGATCCGACTCATCCGAGATCGTGACGCTCATGGCTTAGGCCCGGTCTACAATGGATGTCGGAAGTCGGAGTCGTAAGAAATTAACCAATCACAATCTATTATTCTCCTTGCGGTCGAAGAATAATGAACTGTGATTGGTCAATTTCTTACGACTCCGACTTCCGACATCCATTGTAGACCGGGCATTATGGCTGACACACATTTCTTGGATAAGCCAATGAGAAGTGCTTTTGATTTTGTCCCAACTTAGACATCAGCCTATCAGGAATTATTGTTCAATAATTAAAATACAAATTTAAATACAGCAAGAATTATCTTTTATTTTGTAATAACATTGCAAAAATCAAAAGTGCGTTTTCACATTAATATTGTGTGTTTCAGTTAATTATTAATTAAATTAATATATTTGTGTTATTATAATAAATTAACTTATTAAGTTAAAATCTTACGGATAACTTATTTGTTCGCCTTAATTTCTGGTTTAATTTGTGATATTTAATTTGTGTCGATATTGAGTAAAGTAGATAATGCAAAGAGAACTAATTGTTAAAATAATTTTAGTAAATCTTTTCTCTTTTATTAAAGAATGCAAGAATTATGTCAGGACTAAATTATCGCTATCAAATATATGCGACACAATTAAGTAACTCGTTTCGCCAATCGAAATATTAATATCTCTCGTATTCTCGTATATATCAAGATTCAGTTTGATTAGATTTTAATCAAATTATCTCAAATCAAGTATATTTCTACCGGAATTGAATTCGTTAAGACAGAAAAAATAACATTTGTAGAACGTAATTCCGTCACGTTGACAAGATTGTGTAACACATAAAATAAAAATGTTATAAAGATAAGATTATAACTCTATGTACATTATATAGCTGATGTAGCAAGAGTGTTAACGGACAAAACGATTATTCACTTAAAATATAATGGTAGCTTCAAGTAATGATATGAAGTAATCTCCGTATATTACCCCCATCATTCTTTCTGTATAATTCCGCTTTGCTCAGTGGTTACCACAATTTTCATCCAGAGTATTAAAATTTATAAAAATATAGTTTTTAAAAAATCAATAATTAAATCCCCAATTTTACTAACACGTTGTGAGTACATTTCCTTTTAAGTTTATATCGTCAAAAATGTATACACTTATATAGTAACAGCGTATTTATATTTGCTTTCAATACGAAACGGCTTGACACAATTAAATTCTCAATTAAAAATCAATCCGATTAATATGTTTAAAGTATGAAAGTCCTTTGTTCAGGGTATGTGACATACTTTGCTTGTCATTTTTGCTTCAGTCGACAAAAAGATATTTCGAAGTCATTTCGAAATGCTATGTTATGCAAAATTGTGTGAAACATTATCTATATTTGGCACTACGTTGAACACCTGTAAGTCGGCAGTCTTTTTGGAAAGATAAAGAATCAGCTCATTCTTCCCAAGGAATAATCAACCTTTAAAGCAACAGTTATTGTTCTATTAGCTATTTCTTTTTTCATAAATATAAAAAAAATATTTACTCTTATTCGGAATTTTTTATTGTTATATTATATATAAAATTACTGCATATTTATACTTTATCTATCGACATAGTTTCAAGTAAAACATATAGTCATCGCAGATCTATGTGACCTTAATGACAATCGGTACCAAGTCCAATTTACCAAAAATGGCAACTATCGTGTCGTGGAGCGATACAATTATAAATATTCCATCCTGGAATACCAAAAAGACAAAATTAAATTGCTCTTATCTATTTGTCACTCGGTTGCAATGCTATCGGTTGTACACTGATAGAACCTTGCTGACGACTTAGATTAGATGTTTTCCAATTTACCCGAGCGGAACAAGCTCGTAAAATTCGGGCAAACAAACCGTTTAACAACATAGTTCGGTTTATTCACGTGAGCGATAATTGCCAATTGTGCTGATAATTGTCAGACGGCAAATCTCACAATTCGGCGTTTAACGTTGTACAATGCTGATTTCTCGAGATTCGTTTATTCGCTCATCCTCTAACCCGCGGTGACCGACAATCAAGAAAGATAGCGAGCCGTCTGCGGCGAAGATGAGTGTCTCTCCTTATCAGCGTCAGTGCTCACGAAGAAAAAAAGAATTAAACGACAAGCTGATCCATTAACAGTGTCGATTTGAGGCTCTGGCAGTGATAAAACCCTTCCAATAGCTTCAGTCGCGTGGTCGAGCCCGCTACCATCGTGCGCGGAGCGCCGACGACGAGCTCGCGGTTGCCGTCCAGAGGAGAGAAGATAAAAACCGCCACCGCGCGCCGCCTCCGCCCTCCGCCACTACCATCAAACGGAGAGCCCGCCAGTCCATGCGATGTGTCATTGAATTTTGAATCACTGTTGACAGTGTCGGTGGAACGGTGAAACGTGCTCCACGCTCTCGTTTCTCGTCTCGTTCGCGACATACGGAAAAAAAAATGGCACACGAGGAGCAAACGGTCGGAAAAGTCGAGCTGAAGAGAGAGCTGGGGCTCTTCAGCGCGGTCAGCATCATTCTGGCGGTGATGATAGGTAAGGCACGATTATTGACTAATTTCTACATATGCAAATTAACTTCAATCTTGATTTAACTTACCTTTTATTTGTTTACCTTTTGTCTAATTCTTAGAACTAGAAAAAGATAAAAAGTAAGTTAAACCGAGATTAAAGTTAATCTGCATTGGTCGAAATGGACATAAGAATCTACCCTTTCGCGAATATGCGAATCGTGAATGCAATCGTCGTCTACAAGCACGATTAGAACTTAATCAGTATTTATCTCGCGTCTGCCATTTAATAATATGTAAATTAAACATCGTGTACTGTACACGTGCACACGTTTTTGTTCCCGCGTGCTCGTATCATGTTCTCGTGCCACGATATTCCGCGAGTTAATAATCGAGATTGTGGAACTGCAACACAGATTGCAACGCGTCTAAATGATAAAAGTGGAAATCCATGACACATTTTATTTTTATTTGCGGATTCCCGATCTCTGACACTCCCGTTTGCGATCATGCTTCGAGCGATAAACCGTAATGCGACACAAAGAAGGCGATCTCGTTCAAATCCGCTACTGCATCGTGCTAAAAAAAGATTCGGCACAATGCAGCGCTCTTTGCTGCAAGTCACGAAAATTATTTTCATTCGGCATTGTTCGGCGATACAATGAATAATTAATCGTTGAACTAAACTGCATAGTATATTAAGTAGTATATTAATATGTAATCACATTTGTTCGAACGTAAGTAAAAAAAATTTACGTAAAAGATATAAATTCGATTTTCCACTGAACTGAAAAACATCTGTGTCAAGAGCAAATTAAAAAGTATCGAAAGTAATTACGTGATAAAAATAATTCCAATATACGTCATGAAATTATTCATTCTTCAGATGTTCCTCAGCGTGATAAAATTACATAATAAGAATGTGTTCCAAAAATTTCGAATATTATTCTATTTCTGTTCTGTCCCCTCTTTTTTCAACCTGATTAAAAATTGTAACATTATATCCAAATTAATGCATTCTATAAAAGAAATTAGAGAATTTATTTACTCTCACTGAAAAAAATGTCATAAACATTTAGAATACTAAATAGTAAAGTAGAATAGTAACCACGCAATAAAATAGAACCTAAAACGCGATAATGGTTTCCTGATTTTGGAAATTAAAGAAGAACTCGATTTCGCAGAGAATAAATATGTTCATCAATTCGTTTTAATTCTCTTCGTAAGCTCCGAATTTAAATCAACGCTTCATTAGAAGCAAAGAAAGTCACTGCCCGACTTTTTCTCATGCCAATAAAATAGCCTTCTGTTATTGCGCTTTTATTTTGACCACCACTCATAAAGCGGCGAGATGTATGTATATCTGTACATCATGAAAGTTACATATGCTTGCAGAAAGTTTTCTAATTTTGAGGATAATTAAGGGAAAACTCAATTTCGCGGAGAATATTCGTCAATTAGTTTTGATTTTATGTTTCGTGATCGTTAATTTTGAATTTAAAGCAACGCATTTTTAGACACAAAGAAAGTCATTGCCCGGCTTTTTCTCGTGCCAATAATATATATTCTTGTTATTGCGTTTTTGTTTTGACCATCACTCGTCATAAAGTAGCGAGATGTATGTGTATCACGAAAGTTACATATGCTTTTAGATAACGTATAATCGCAAAAGCATTTATCAATATTTCATTAGAACGATCGTACACAATAAGTAACAATCATAAATTATGACATTCTCAGAACTGTGATGGTATAGCCTTTAGTGCAAGACAACAATTTAAAAGCAGTTAACAGTAATTACATAATTGTATAGACCCAAATAAGATACCGCTTTATACATTAAAGCTCTTGTATTTTAACAGTTGATTGACAGTGTCCGGAATGCTTTCTCACGCGGTCTTAGATACCGGGTGTTACAAAAATAAAAATATAAGATTAATAATGTTTTTTTAAGTCAATAAAAAAGTTATATCACGAAATAAAGAATTTTATGTGTGCGTACAAGTCAACAGTTGCATAGATAAAATAAAAATATAAGATTAATAATGTTCTTTTAAGTCAATAAAAAAGTTATATCGTACGAAATAAAGAATTTTATATGTGCGTATATATATATATACAAGTCAACAGTTGCATAGATAAAATATTGAGCGATTAGATTTTAAATTCGAGCTAAATATTTCTAAACTACTAGAACGTTTATTTTCGTGATATAATCACTCGAAAGTTTAGTAAAAAGTTTCAAATTCTTCGAGTGTGTTATCTCTCGACAGACAGATCTTATCCTTTATCTGCTTTAGAATCTCCAAAGAATTCACAGTTCAAGAGAGTATTAATTACTGTGATATTGTATCTTATACGATCAAATTATATTACCCGATATAAACCAACGCAGTAACACAATGAAATAACATCATGTTTGTCGAACATTTCATCCCGATTATTTCGATTTTAAGATCCCAATAAAAATTCTTAACAATTTATCAATAGATAATAAAAGAACTTAACATCATGCAACCTGCACATGTTAAAATCCTAATAATAAAAATTTATAATTTATCAATACGTAATAAAGGAAAACTTAACATCACAGCCTGCTCGTGTTAAAATCTTAATAATAACAATTTTTTATAATTCATTAATATGTAATAAAGGAAAACTACGTCACGCAGCCTACAAATGATCTAAATGCTCTCTCAATGGTCAACAGAGTAATAGTCCGTCAACCAATATTTTATCTATCAATATAATAATTATATACGACTAAAAACGTCGGAAAGGTTAATCGAGATTAAGCGGTCATCCACGTCATGAGGCATTAGCCAGCTACTGTCGTGACTCTACTGACTCCACCGAATACTACTGAATTACTTTATTAATCTGCAATCTTGTTACCTCTATTGTCCAGGTTCTGGCATTTTCGTGTCACCAACCAGCGCTTTTGAGCGATCAGGATCTGTGGGATTTTGCTTGATCGTTTGGATCAGCTGCGGCGTGCTGTCCCTGCTGGGTGCGTTGGCCTTCGCCGAGTTGAGTACCGTGGTACCACGTTCCGGTGCCGAATATGCGTACTTCATTGAAGCCTTCGGGCCATTACACCATTATGCCGGTCAGATACCGGCGTTCACCTGTTCCTGGATCTACGTGATGCTGCTACGGCCAGCGGAAGTGGCAGTAATCATATTGACTTTCGCGGAGTACAGCGTGCAACCGTTTTCCGGATACCTTTGCAATCTACCCAGCGATTCCATGATGACACTGAAGAAGCTCATAGCGATCGTAGCGTTGGGTTTGATAACGTACATCAATCTCGTCAGCGTCAAGCTCTACGTAAAAGTACAGAACGTGTTCACCGTGTGCAAAGTGGTCGCCTGTATGGTGGTGATCGGCGGTGGGATATGGTGGCTAGGCTCAGGTCAGGTGGAACTCCTTAATAATCCTTTTCGTGGCACCACCACGTCAGCCGGCAATATTGCCCTGGCCTTCTACAGCGGTCTCTGGGCATACGACGGATGGACCTCGGCCGCGATCGTTACCGAAGAGATCCAGAAACCTGAAGTCAATATCTTACGGAGCACCCTCATCGCGGTACCCACCATCACCGTTCTATATGTATCCATGAACCTGATGTACATGGCAGCGCTGACGATGTCGGAGATGAAGAGCGCACCGGCGGTGGCGGTTCTTTGGGCGGACCGAGTCCTGCCGTCTTGGATGGGCTTCACGATACCGCTCGGTGTAGCGTTGTCGACCTTCGGATGCGCCCTTAGCGTTCAATTCAGCGTGTCCAGACTGTGCTTCGTCGCTGGCAGGGAGGGCCATGTACCACGAGTCTTCAGTTATGTGCACATGGAGAAGATGACACCGGCCGCGGCGGTAGTTTTTCAGGGCATACTCTCGCTAGCGTGCCTCCTGCTAGGCGACATAATCGCCCTGATCGAGTTCGCCAGTTTCCTCATGTGGGTGTTCTACGGACTAGCGATGATATCGCTGATAATTATGCGACGGACCAAACCGGACGCTCCTAGACCGTACACCGTACCTATCGTGATACCTTGGATGGTGTTGATCATTTCCATCTTCCTCTCGGTGCTCCCGATAGTTTACGAACCATCGTTAAAATATCTTTTCGCACTTGCATTTATCTTGTGCGGTATTGTCGTTTACCATGTATTTGTGTACAAGAAGATAAGGAATACTTTATCAGGTGAGTGTAACCAATTGAAAAAATATATAGAAGTCTCTTATATAAAAGATTTATTTATCATTGACACTATAAAATATAATTTGCTTTACTTATAACAAAATAAAATTTATGTTTTTGCCTCTTTTCAGCTAAACTGACATACTTCATGCAAGCGTTATGTCTAATTGTCGCTCCAGATGAAAAGGAAGACTGACCGAAAATTTTGAGTTTATTATTATGTGTATATATATGTATAATACTACGTTTACGCGAGCGTTACCTCTGTATAGTAACTTATGATAATTCTTTCGCGAAAACGGGATTTTGTATAGTAACTTACAATAATTTACTCCGCATAAATGTGAATTATCGTAAGTTACTGCAGAAGTAATGCTCGCGTAAACGTAGTATGTGTGTGTGTGTGTATGTGGCTATGCACACACATAATTACTCATTTTTATTATTGAAATAACTTGAAAATTTAATTCTTGTATTAAGCATAAAAGAATTGCCTTAATCATATAAAGAAATTGAAGAATTTCTGTATATAGATTTATATATATATATATATTATTTTATCTTTTAAGAGTGTGTGTGCATATATGTGTGTAGTGTGTGATTAGTATTGTACATACATAGAAAATATCGAGATGTATGAGAGTAACACAACACGCAAACAGTTAGAAAAAATAATAGTTTGTATATTGCAATAATGCAATATTACAATATTTTACTATTAAATTACTTTTTTGATATTTTAGATATAATAAATATTAAGACGAAAAAATAACGCATATTGCAATACACTTTATTTTATTTACAATGTCAGATATTTATTATATCTAACAATATTTTGCTATATTTAAAATAGTATTTCATAAACATTAAATTTTAATTAATATCTTACTTACGCTTTTTTATAACATTTTTTCAACAGTTTATAATATACAGTAAAATTATTCAAACTTTTATACAGTTGACGATAATTTTATATGAATAGAATAAGATAAATGTATAGATATAAAATTTACAGAATGCATGATTTCATCAAATATATCAAAGATATTACTCATACAAATGTTACTGAATTCATTTTTTGTGCAATCGGGTGAACAAAGTTTTAGTTCGCCATAATGAAAAAAATGCAGAAAATTATTATGATCTGATGTTCAGCCCGCTAAACATTTCATTCAGTCGTATAAATATGACAAAAAATTAAATTGACAATACATATGAGATTCATACATCTTTTCCTCGAAAATGGAGGCAGATACACTCATTTGATCAGTATCTTATATCTTCAACATAAAAGCAATTTTTAATAGATAAGTTGTAAATATAAATTTATATACATATATATGTGTTTAAAGATGTAAGACATATCCATATAAACAATTATTTGTAATTTATTTGAATAAGTAATATCAATCATTGTATCAAATATATAGTCAAATGCAAAAATTTGTGAATAAAATTTTATATATAGCTTACTGTAATATTGATAAAATTCTGCTGTTGTAATTAATAATATGCAAAAAATATCATCCCTAAAAATATATCCCATTTGTAAAATAAGTTCTTATATATAAAAAATATTTTCTATATCATCTAGAATTTTTTTATAACAGTATTGATTTAAAATTTGTACAGATTAACTCTATCAGATCTTATCCAATATTATCTCTTATAAAATATTATGATCCAGTCTATATATAAAATTACTATTGAGTTGCACCACATTTTGAACAGGTTTGTCTTTCACTGAAACAGTTCAAAATATGATATTTTATAAAAGTAAAGGCTCACAGGATTAAAAATCAATTAACAACGAAAGAGCATCGAGCTGTAACTAGGTGTTAATGTTAATGTATTCACATATAATTTAAATTAAAATATGTTGACCAAAACATTTAATTTAAATTATATGTGAATACATTAACATTAACACCTAGTTACGGCTCGATGCTCTTTCGTTGTTAATTGATATGATATTTTACTTGAAAAAATAGAAATATTTACATTTTAGTGCTTACCTTAATATCTGATGAAGCTTTTTCCGGAATTCATTACATATAGTCTTTTCAGATGAAAGTGCCGCATCGCGTTCTCTTAATTGTTGTCTCAAATTATATATCGTATCTTCCAGTGCTTCAAATATTGCCTGAAAAGATTAAATATTTAAATTGTTAAGCAAATTAACATATAGGAATTGTATTGAGATCTATAAATATGATCTATGACTCTATAAATATGATTATGACTCACTCTAGATTCCTCTGCTGTATCAGATAAAACGGGAGGCTCATCCAAACAAAAGAATTCTCTTACACATGAGACGCCTATGAGAAGCGGGCTACTCAATATGCCATTAACAAATGTCTGAAGGCCACATATCCTTTCTTCTAAAAAACTTGGAGCAAAATTGTCACCAAGCCATTTCTTTCTCGGTAATGCCAAATGAGCAATAGGAACTTTTTGCCTCTTCAATTGAGCTAGTAATCGAACAAAGTCCGTGTACCTCCGGAACACAAACCAGCAATCACCATTTTTCAATTCAACTCGAAGTTTGTAGACCTGGGTATCAAAAACAGAGAAAAAAATCTGTCTTTAAAATACTTTGAAATACAACACAAATAAAACAGTTTTTTCTTAACTTTGTATTTTAAATAATATTACTGCATCATACCTTTATCATTAATCATTATGTATTTTTAAAGTTTTATACCATTAAAAGTAATAAAAGCATACATTACTACATGTGCAAAATACTTATATTTATATTAACAAGAAATATATATTAAGAATATTAATAGACTTTAATATGATATAGTAGTAGGACTATAGAATCGTTGATATAAAATTAACTAACTGTAAATCTAGCTCTTTCCTCCATGATTTCATAACCAACAATAGGTATTCTCAAGTCATCGCTGGTAAGGGGTGACTGAAGAATATCCGAATTGGTATTGTTATCATTAGTGTAATTAAATCGCTGTACGGTAAATGAATTTGAATGGCCAGATCCATTGGAGTCGGGGCTATCAAGAACTCTCACGGTGCCTGCCTGAGAACTTCTTGCTTTGCTAATTGCGAGTGTTACCTCACTAATGCATCCCACACCAGCCTCTGAATTGGACATTTTTAACTCGGACAAAACTAAACAAAACCATGCACACTTCAAATAAACAAGTCAAAATGATATAAAGCTTAGACAATAGCTACTAGACAAATAAACTCAAGCGATCAACTATATTTTTTATGTAAAACACTATATTTAAGTTACATAAACGCTATACTGAAAGCAACTATACATCAGTTTCAAAATATAAGCAATAAATTGATATCAAGAGCATTTGAAACCAATTTAGAACAAGTAGGCAAGTTCATAACTATACATTACGTAAAATGATGATATATTTAATAAAGAAGTTTTGCACGTTAAAAAGCAATGTATAACAAATCACTTATAACAAAAGCTAAGTCATACGGTGTGTAATCAACTTAACAAATCAAAAAGTTTTGTTGAACATACTAACCTCTTAATTATTTTGACACGTCAAAATGTAATACGGAGCACTCAATTCTGTTTATTGCATCTTTATTATTTTAACACAACCATAAATATCACAATCGTTTATCATGTTATAAATATACCAGTCGCCTAGTCAACAAATCCCTTGACAAGCTTCCCTTATGTTTGTTTGACATATTGAAAGTTTGCAAACAATTCACGAACTTGAGATTCGTGATCGAGAGAATAAGGTCAGTAAAGTTAAAAACCTTCGGAGGAGAGTCTTGGGATTTGTTTCTTTTTTTAACTATGCTGAGACTGTGTGCACCGAAACCGAAGTGAGAGAGGGAAACGAGCACAATTACAGATCAGATGCTAATATTGCCATGTATCTTCCATCGACCATCCGGGCGTCCGACCGTCGTGTCATAACTCGTGGTGCCACCTAGAAACTTTACACACGCGAGAGAGAATAATATAAATTCGAATATAAAATTAATTAATGGATACGAAGCAATTATCTTTTAAATTAATCAGCCCGATTCTCTAACGAGAAACGTATGCGCAAACTCTGCTCTAACAGAAAGGCTGCAAATTGATTGGCTATCACACAGTTTTTAGCCAATAAGCTTGCAGCTTTTCTGTTAGAGCAGAATTTACGCATACGTTTGTCGATAGAGAATCGGGTAATTTTATATGTCCAATGTTATTTGATCCAGTTCGCTAATGAAAAAACTTAATCAAGATCTCTAAATTTGTCGAGCTTTTGAAAATCGATAAAGTATGATCAGAATGACTTCGGCGAAATCCTAATTAATTTTATTTAATTAGCAATTAACTTATGAAGTAGTATTTTATTATAATTAGAGTTTTTCAGAGTGTTCTAAATGCAAAAATTTTAGCTCCTCTAATGTATATATTGCGGAGTAGACGGATCAAAGAATCGTAGCTGTTCTTAAATTAATTAAGTAACTCAGTCCTAGTCGTATTTTAAATGCAATTAGCATGTGCCGGCTCCGCCTGGGCAACCCGCGACCTTTTTAGCGCCCTAAATGAAACCGAGCGGAGCAAAATTTTTCCAGAAGCCGATAAACGCGATAATTTTCCTTATCACATTGCACTATAAAGACATAAAATGTTAAGTTCGAGGGTCTCCATCGACCCAAGGCCCAAGGCTCTCTTTTTGCAATGATCGATCGGGCGTACGCTCGGCGACTTCCGTATGACAGATCAAGCAGACTTTGTCGGCAATGTCGAAGCGTACTCTTTGTACATTTAATAAGTTATTTTCGATCTTATTACAGTTTTACCCCCTTTCCCTCTCTCTCCCCATTTTTCCATAAAAAAAGGAAAGGAACGGCTTCCGACCTCGTGGCATATTAGACATTGACGTTCGTATCGAATGTACTCGCTCCTTGCGGGTTGCGAGCGAGTAACGTAGTTACATCACGCGGAGACAAAGAGAGGCTCGCGTAACCGTCAGCACACAGCAAAAATGGAGCATGTATCAGGTGTAATTAACGCACAACGCGGACATAGCTCGCTTAAGGGCGCGTACGACAGGATATATGCCCAGTAATTCGTTTACCGATATCGTGTGAACAGCAACACATTGACTGTAAATACTCCGATAAAAAAGACGAGGTGCGGAGGAGCATTCAATCAGCTCTAAAAATAAGGCGATTCAGGGGCAAAAGCGAGGACGATAATCTTAATTTCTCTTTAATGCTAAACATGTGTTAACTTGCATATGTTAACTGCAGTTAACTTGTACACAACTTGTCCACAGTAAAATTTCTAGTAATTCGTCGTTATATAATCGCTAACTCTTCTTTTCACATATCAAACAAAAAAATGTTTAATTCTATATCCATATTAAGTTCGTTCAAAATTATTCTAATCCTCTCAACGATGCAATTTATTATTATAGCAAAATAATACTATAACAAAACTTAGTCATTTGCAAATCAAGGCTCTGAAAATTATAAACATAATTATACCCATTCATTAATTTTTAAATAAAATTCCACGTTTATAGAAAAATTTCTCATTTCCTCGTTCTTAATTTCCAAGAAATTTACTGTAGATTTCATAATATACGCAAGATAATTACTTATAATTATAATAGAGCACGAATTTTTATTATTTTTAATATTTGCTCCGAGTATCGCTGCAATACCATCTGCGAAATGTAATCGAGATTTAAATCGAGGTTATTTTGACGGCGCAGCTCCGTCATCACGAACGAACGTTATCGATTTTTTTCACGATCGTGCAAACGGCTGGACTTGGGGTGAACCTCTCGTTCGCGACGAGTCATCATTTGCCAATCGCTATCGGTATGATCGCTGATAACAGCAATCGGCGATCGGCCCACACATAATGCACATGCGCGCGGCTATCGATCACGTGTGCGAGTCTCACGTCTCACGCTCGCATCGCGTACGGGGAAAAGGAAAAGCAGTTTTTCTCCGAACGTATCAGATGCACCGGCATGCGTTTCGCCTTCATGACGTTTCACACGTGCGAGCGATGACGATCTGTGCATGCCGACTTTTATGCAGCCGCGTGAGAGGTCGGTCGCCGATATATTAACCTGCACTCTCTATAGCTGCGATAAATAACTGCGCAATTTTGTAGCTAATTATACTGCTGTTCTCTATGAGCACGTGTCTCCATATAGACGGGTACAGATATTATTGTTCATTGAATTCCGATCGTGTTGGAACCGTTTTTTTTTCTCATTATCGTAAGCCTCGATCAAAGGAACGAGAAGGACTCTCATTATCACAGATAAAAAATATAGTTTAGTAGGCTGCGGTCCACTTGACGCTACAAATGCTTCGAAGCATTCCTCTTCTCTTTTCTTTCAATGAAGAAAGAAGGAAAAGAAGGACGCTCCAAAAAATTTGTATCGTCAAGTGGACCGCAGCCCAAGTCGACTATCAAGAGTCATTAAGAACAGCGTTTCGTTTCTGTCTCTCGTTTTATTAAAAAACTGCGTGTTTGAATTTCGCGGTATAAACAACGGCTGCAATACTGATTTCATTATCACGTTGCCCCCAGCGACCGCGATTGCCAAAAATAATGTCACGTTTTTTTTTCTTAGCCTTGCGAGCTAATTGTGTCTCGCAGGCTGATTTATTTTACAAAAGGTACGCGAGACGATAAGATGAATAGCGGTAAGCGGATGCAGCTGTTTCGCCGCCACCTCGTTTTGGCGGCAAACCGGCGGATAAGCGTGGCAAAGCGTGGCATTGTTAGGCGCTCGTGTGTCGGCTCGAATTGCGAGGAATTTGTGAAAGATTAAACGATCTCGTCATGTCAGGAACCGTGCTGAAATTCGCGAAGCTGTCGGAGAAGGCGTTTCCGCCGACGAAGGGCTCGGAATATGCGGCGGGCTACGATCTACGAAGGTATACATTGTCTGCCAAACGACACGCTCCCATCCATTGACTTTCCTGCTCTGTCCTACTAACAATAAGTGCCAGTATAGCTGTTAGTAGCATGATAAGAGAGTGTCATCGATCCACAATTACTGGATCAGTTACAAATATTTAGAATATTAAGCCCATTCTACAATAGCCGTAAAAGTATGCGTCAAGACGTAAGCAGTAAGCTATATGACTAATGGGATTTTTTTACAATCCAAGAATGATCGACTGTAGTTGGTCAATTTTTACTGCTTACGTCTTAACGCATACTTTTACGGCTATTGTAGATTGGGCTTAACATATAAGTAACTTCGATAAATGGTTGAGTAACCTGAGTCTAGAGAAAGCAAGGGAATCAACCTTCGATAATGATAATTAATGTAATGTTGAGTACCGCAATATTTCTCTGCCTGCCATTATAATGATTTAAAGTTTGAAGAAGAGGATTACATAAGTTTCTAAGATATGTTTCTCTTTTTTGTGTGATACAGCGCGTACAAGTACATTGTACCAGCCCGTGGCAAGGAATTAGTCAAGACTGATTTGCAAGTAGAAGTTCCTTTTGGTACCTATGGCAGAATTGCACCACGATCTGGTTTAGCATTGAAAAATCACATAGATGTTGGCGCGGGCGTAATAGATGCGGATTATCGGTACGTATTGTTTCTATAGAGACTTTATCAAAATGCCAAGATAAGTCATTTTCTTAATTTTTCTTCTTTTTAAACAGTGGCAATGTTGGCGTAGTACTATTCAACCACAGTAATGAGGATTTCGAAGTGGCACCTGGTGATCGCATAGCTCAATTAATATGTGAAAAGATTACATATCCCAAGATAGAAGAAGTAGATACCTTAAACGACACGAATAGAGGCGCAGACGGATTTGGCTCAACCGGCATGAAGTAAAGATTTCACGATAAACCTGAATTATTTCACTTACAAAGACTTATTTGATTTACTTATTAAACATTAAGCCTTTTTTATATTCTACACGAATAAAATGCATCGATATTTTGATAGAATATAGCCTCTTTATTTCTTAGAACCGTTTACGACTGTAGCATATATATCCCATTGGTATAAACATATGTACACATAGAAAAAATGTAAAAATAATTCTTTAAGAGCACTCAAATCTTGGAGACAGGAGCTAGCCCTGTGTACAAAGTCGGTGTTTTGATGAGAGCCAGTAAATTTTTGAATTGTTCATGACTTGCGTCCCTTACAATCTTGAATATAACATTCTCAGAAGTAGTTATGTGACATCCTATGTCTCGCATTCTCTGTGAAAAAAAAATATTTAGCCGATAGATACGACGGAGGACAACGCACAGTGAGCCTGATAGACGTGGATAATCGTTTAATGTACCTTCAAAGCTAGTAATCTATCTTCTTGAGTACGCGACGAACAACAGTCTGCCACCGTATGAACCTCGTAGCCGTGTCGCCTCAAATCGACAGCTGTATTTTCTACACAGACATGCGTTTCGACGCCTATGAGTATAATGGACTCTGGTCTTTGTCCATCGCAAAGTGTCACAAGCTCCTTATTGATCTGAAGGAAATGAACCCACATTAATATATCTAACATTAATAGAATTTGTAGAGGAGGAACAAGAGAAGTCTGTATCTACTTCAGGAGTACACATGCTAAATTGCATCTTCGCAAAAGGTCCCTTGGCTCCAGAGATATCAAACTCGGGTATAGTCTTCCCCAAAGACTTCGGATTCTGCTCGGAAACCAGCATGGGCACATTCATAATTTTCAGAGCGTTGATCTGCAAACAATCGCATTTTATATTACGACAATACATTGGTGCAACAATGCCAGTTCAAAAGTGAATGATTATGGGTCTGTTCTCTATTGCTGAACTGGCTGCACTAGTCACTTCGGAGCTTATCTTTCTTTTACTCCACATTGGAAGGAAAAAGATAAACTCTGAACTTATAGCGCAGCCAGTTGAGCAATAGAAAACAGACCCATTGTGTGATTATGAGAAATAACATAACCTAACCCTTATGTTTCTCATATAACGTAAATCGTAATGTTAAGTAATGTAGAGTGTGTGTAATGATAGATTTACCAGTTTCGTTGAGTTTTGAACTATCCTGTCGAATTGGAATATAGCCTTCGCGAATTTTTCCTGAACGTCGCATATGAATAACGCGGTCTTCCCATGCTGGAGTATAGCTTTTGCAGGATTTATAGCCATCGTTGCGATCGTTATCTACGTTGTTGTCTGATTTTAGCGTGTACGGAACGGAAGATGTGCAAACGCGATTGCGTCTCGCGAAAACCGTGGAAAACACTGGAAAAAAGCATGTATGACGTACGTGACAAAGCTTATATACGCGCGATATAGTCATGTGATATCCGCAGTCCAAGGTTTTATCATTGTTATCAACATGTGATAGTTTTGACGTGCTCTGAATAAAACAAAGGTTATAGTAGATAGGCAAACGTTTTATGCAAAATAAGCTGTTCGCGTTGGCGAGCGCGATTAGATATTATAATTTTTATTTCAGTTAACAAGGCCATTTCTGCTGCTCTTAATTTATTCATGAATGAAAAGATGGTCATGCGTTTAAAAAAATGTAACAGTAAAAACACGAGAAATATAAACGAAGCTAGCGCGAGGAGATTTTTATTTTTTACTTCATCGTTTTCATCGAATTTATTTGTCATCCGCGTCGATAACAATTCTACACGCGAGTGTAAAAACAACAACGCGCTGCATCTCACGTGTTTATTCTCGCGTGTTCTCGCATATTGCAGGTGCATCGGCGCAATGTTTTCAAATCGAGGGAAAGATCCACACATGTGTGCGCAATAATCGCGCTGTTTTTTCAGTCGCGTGCATATTTCGCCGTGAAAACACTGAAAACGGTGCTGTTACGAAAAATACCAAAAGGCGTTAAAAAAAACATTGAAATTGAAACATCCTCATTCTGCCTTCTGTGAAAAAACTCTCCGAAATATTTGGTTTCGCCGAGCAAATTTACATGCTGGAGAACACCCTGCGTCGCATTTAACCCTTAGCTGGCACACTGGGGCCGTTTCAGACCCCACCACTAAAATGCTTGCTGCGAGGAAAAGCTATATTGATTTTTTTTACTTAAAAAAATTCCAAGATAGTTTTCGAACGTTGTTTTAACAAATGTCATAGATTATTTTCATAAAATGTAATATTATAAGTATGAAAAAAATTGGAGAACGTAAAAGAAAACGAAAAAATGACTATTCTCAAAAATTTATAACTCATATTTTAACTCTTCCATTTTTCAGTACCATTTTCGTACTATAAGGGGGCTTAAATTAGAGCTGAACCAGGCTGGGGCGTTTAATACCCCACATTGCCAGTTAAGGGTTAAATTAACTCGATATCAAAATCGCCCCGATCCAAGGCGGATCATGCCGCGCAGGCTCCCCGCTCCGGATAGGTCGCCGAGCAGACGCCGAGAGCGCCGCGCGGCGCGCGGTGTGGGGTTCTCTCACTCGATCTGGGGACGCTGGCTCGAGCGAGCCACCGAGGGCGCCGAGGTGCAGTAGTCAAACAATGCTCCGACCGCTCGGGTGTGCGCGTCGCGGCTAAGAACGAGGACACGAGGAGCTCGAGGTAACGCGAGATCGTTTGACGTTTCGTTATGAGGTACGCGGGACGCCCGACGCGGTTTGCTTAACGCGCGCGTGTTCCCGCTCGGTCCTCTCGGTCCGCGTTTTCTCTCGCGTGTCGCGTCGCGTCCGGCAGGAAGGTCCGCAGAACACGCAGGAGATGGCCGTGGAACCTCGCGTGACCGGGAACGCGAAGCCCCTGGTGCCGCTCTTCACGAAGGCGTCCGACTGCGTCAACACCAGCTGCTACTGGTAAGTGACATATGACTCCGCGGCCCGCGCGCGGTCATCGTCGTCGTCCCGGTCGGGGCGTCGATCGATCCTCGGGGACAAACAAACGCGCCGTATTGCGGCATGCACCCGTGCCCCGTGCCTCCGATCGATACGTTGCGACGGTGCGGACGACCGCGCGCGCGGCCATCCTTGCGGCGCGTAATTCGAAACTCCGCGCGAGAGAGAGAGAGAGCGTCGAATCGCTTTCTCGCGCGCGTATATCTCGACGGCGAAAGATCCTAGACAGGACCATGTCCAAAATCGGGACATAAGACGTCTTAAAGATGTCTTAGATGTCTTCAAGACGTCTTGTGTCCCGATTTTGGATATGTGTGCTGTCCGGGACGAAGTTTCGAGTAGTAACAGCGTGTTATACGCTGATTACAAATTTTCAGAATTAATTGACAATTAAAAGGCACAGTTTTGAATCTGAAATTAATTTGGAGCAAACGACGCTTTTATCTAATGGATTGATTGATTTATTCCACACAATCTTGGTGCATAATATGCAGAGATCCGTGAATATGTACAGCAATTCGTGGATAGATTCTCAGAATTGACAAATTTCGACGCGAAGTAACCTATTTTGAAGAGATCGATAAATATATAGGTCAGAGATTTAACGGGAGCTTCGCGCGATCGCTTATTCGCGTTTTCCGCGCCAGCTGCTTTCTGCGAAATGAATTTTTGCTTTCCCGAGGTATGTACATACCCATCAATATACGGCCATGCTGGCACCACGCCGTTTACCACCGGCCCACTCGTTTACGTGCCGTTTAAACGGCGCGAATGCACGAGCGTGCTTTTATTGCAATTAATAATGCATGCGATAAATAATGCGCACGCGAAATGTGGCGGCACGCGAAGCGGTTGTCGCGCTCGCACGATCGCGATTATGGATCGGTTTTATTTTTTTCTCCTAATTGCGCAGAACACGTAATCGGGTTGGAGAAGCAATTCCTCTTATTGTTAGCTTTTCACTAATACGTAATTGTCAGATTTAACAAGCTGCGCACTATGTTTGTCGACGCTTTTCTTTGCAACTTTTACTATTTTTAGAGCTACCTACGTATTATTTGTGACTTTTGCAATTTCCAGGGTGATTCTCAAAGATCGAGTTTCTTTTGCAGTAATTACTTAATCCGAGAACGAGCGTCTGGAGTAATTTTTACACTCCAGTATTGAAAAAATAAAGCTTACAGTAATTTTAATGTATTTTTTATTTATTTCTTACTTTTTTCAGAAAATGCTGAGTAAATATACACCTGTTGTAAATATACACTTCAAATACTAAATTATAGAACAATCAAAAATTTACAATATGTAATTAATTATAATTACTTTTAATTGGGGTGTAAAGATCATTCCAAGTGATCATTTATCCAAAAAAAGTAATCAGGCACCCGTTCTCGAATTAATGTTACTATTAGAATATGATATTCTTTGTATTCTTTTTATTACGCTGTTTATAATACCTACTTTTGTGGTTTTTTATGTATGTAGTTCCCAGTTTAACATATATTTTATAAAATGCAAAATGTTATTAATAATTTTATTAATATTAAGTTTTATTAATATTATTATTAATAAAATTAACCAATTATTCTATCTCAATAATTCAAATTTTTTACTAACAAAGTACAATGATGCTATAGGTATTAAATATGTATTTATGCCGATTTATGCAAAATTCTTTCTTTTTTCTAAATAATTTAAATTATGATTGATATGCATATATCGATTTCAATTGGCTTTCTCATTTATTAATATACGCTATATAAATAATAAATAAAATATTTCGTTAATCATACGTATAACTACACGGAGAGAATTTTCTCTTAGAATTTACCTTGAAATCATGGTAGTTGTGGGACAACATATACCACCGTCCACCAAGAATTTTATTCTGATTAATATCTACCATAATAAAAAATATTAATATCTAATACATTAAAATATAAAATATGTTTGATTAATTTTACTCAAATATATTAAGGAAATTTCAATAATTTTGTAAAATTTACCAATCTGCTTGGCAATTTTTATCACGTTGTTTGTAAAATGTCTTTTGTATATTTAAAAAATTCCTTGGTTGCCAAGTTGTCCCAAGTTTGTAGTGAATTTAAGGGTAAAATATAACAAAAAATTCTCTCCGTGTATCCCTTCGTAAATCCGTAAAAATGAAGTAGATTGCCCGAACGTTTTTGATCGAGGATAAAGAACGGTGTGTATTATACCCAATTTCAGCGAGGAAAACGTGTGGAAGCTCTGTCAAGACGTAGCGACTAGGCACCCTTCCGAATTGCAACATTGTCACGTTGTTTTCGTAAGCAACCCACGACGCAGCGTTCCCCTTTGGCGTCAACGATCGGGGAAGGACGAGGACAAGTTAGTCGTGTGGGTTAGTACGCCAGCGGGACGATAATTAGTTAAGGAACTTCACGGTGCCCTCGCCTCGTCTGTGATTATTTCATGTGAAACGTTGCCTCTGTCTCTGTAGGACTATCATGCTATTCTCATCTACGCGCCCGACGAAAGGGCGGTGGTGTACGATTTAGAAAGCTGCCTGCCGTTTCCCACGCATTTCTGGAAATACGCGACCGAGACCTTCCGTTCCGACGAGGCGCTGCGACCCGAGTATCACAGAAGATTCCGTCTGGTGCCCGCCAGCGTGTACTTACAGCAGTTCGCGTCGAATCGGCATCACATGAAACGCAAGGACGGCACTTGGATCAAGACACCGCCGGATTATCCTCCGATCTCGACACCAAGTACGTAGGAAAGTTCGGTGACATGCAAAAGATTTTTCCTCTACAATTCTCGAAGCATCCTGGCCTCTTGGAATTCTACCCTCTGACACGAACGTGAATGGAATCCTTACAACGAGTACTCCTTTCCTAACATCGTCTTCCAACGTTCATTTGTTCTAATTACCACTATTTCGAGTCACACCATGATTTTCCTAACTGCACGTATGTGTATATGTGTGTGTGTGGAACGATCTTATGGCACACTTTTTATTCATCGGCTGCATTTCATACGTTTCAGCCTGCAAGGATAATCTCGACTCGTTCATCAACATGGAGCCTGGAACCGGATTAGGCGTTGTATTGAGTTTGAAACAATTAGTTAACCGATTTTATAGGCCAAATGTCAACACACCGGCGCCGGCGCCGCCTCAGCCGCAAGCCACGGCAACTTAAATCGCGACGTGGCAACGCGACGTTCGTACGCTTTGATTAAACATCTTGGAAATCAATTGTATGGCCTAAGGAAATTGGTTTGGTGCGTGCACCTACGTGGGCTAAAATACTTGATCGAAATTTGATAATAATGCTAGTTAATTGCTGCTAATTATGGCAGAATTTCAATTATAAAGTTGTATTGCTATTTGAGCGGGGGGATTTGCTCGGAAACCGAGTTGGAACCGAGGTGGTTTTAGCTGAATTAAATTTGTTATCGCGTTGTGATACTTTTGTCAAAGTTTCGTCACATCGTGAGAGTGGATGTTTTAGATAATTCAGATAAGTTTGTCAATTGTTATTGATTATTTTCTCGCCCCTCTATCTTAATACGAAAATTTCGCGCGTAAACCTTCGGGTAGCGTGAAACCAATGAGTACGTGAAATTATCAATGCAGGTATCAATTAATTATTTATCTGTTATTATTAACCGAAACATCCCGGTTCTAGGTAGAAAGATTTAAAAATTTCATGTTTTATCCACAATCAAAACCTACATATAATCGATAACAGAAACACGCACTTTTTGCAATATAATAACGGGATTAACGTCTTATTCTCCAATCGAGTGATTTGGCTTGCCGCGCATGAAGAACGATTCTGCTGAGCTGCTTTTTGAATACTCTCGATAAGTGCTTATGCATCGTATTAATGTACTCCATCGCGAAATCCATTTTCTCTCTTCTACTAAAGTCTCCTTTGCAAAATTTATCCGGAGGAACGTCCTCCTCCGGCAAATGTAGCACATCGCATTTCGACCCACCTTTCCTGAACTCGAATTCGTATTTTATATAAGTACTTTCGTCTCCATGCCATAAAGCGATATTTCTCACGGCTTTATTCTGTCAGTGGTGTTATTATAATTATTGTGTCAAAGACTGATGTATTTACAGAGAATTATCCGACTTGATAGAGATCCCCTTTGTCTATCGGCGCGTGCTCGGAGCGCGGGACGCGATTAAAAGCGCTTATAATTACTGTGCGATCGATGTAGTAAGGTCAAGAACTTAATCTTTGCGACGTAACGTAATTATTACGATTATTGTAATTCTTGTGATACTTTACACTTTCTACTTTGAATACCTACGCTATACTTACCTATTACTGTTTAAACTAAAAGTCGATTCTTAAGAGATACATGTTCGCTTGTTGAGCGGCTTCCCTAATCGGCGTATTAGGCTTGAATGAATACGCGACATCGTCACGCGACCAATTGTTAACATCGAAGAACCTGTTGACTCAACGAATGCACGTCGCTTTAGTGACGATAGGAACAAGTTTTGACAACGAATGCTTTAAATTCTCTATCTGTTCTGTAATTAAGATCAGCAAAATATGTTCTATCCGTTAAGATTTAATGTCTTATCGTTATTTTTCGATTTTACGTACGAGATATTGAATATTTTATTAAGTCTATACTGTCCGATTTATTACCTCACTCTCAAGACTTTATCATAAATGTTTATTTTTGCGGATTTGCGATTAACTCTTTGTGATTCAAGTATGAATAAATAATTTACATTTAAACGTTCACGATTACGGAGTAACCTTGATACATCAGAATAGCCAGTGTTAACTTGGATATAAGTGTAAAATGCTCACCACCTCCGTTCAGCATGATGTAACCTTGGAACGCAAAGGGTTAAATCGCGTGTTATGTTATGCACATTTTATCAGATGTGACAGCCTTGAAAGTTCAGCCTTTGTGCGGACTTTCTTTCCTCGACCCTCACGTACTTTACGTATTATTTAATAACGGTGACGATGTGGAACAGAAAGTTCCGTACTTCAGAAATATATCTATTTTAATATATCTATTTTAATTTCTACTTTAATTTCGTTATTAGTTGCTTTACTCGGACGAGTGCAACGGGGAAGTTTATCAACAAGCAATTGTTATCGGACTATCGACTCGACGTGCCGCGAATGGTGTGCCAATCATTCGTGAAAAGACCCATCGGTCGGGTCGATAGTTTTAAGAGTTCGTCCACACTCTTTGCCTTCCAAAGTCTCTCACTAGTTCACTCTACCTTTCTCATTGACACATGTTTACCTCCAGTTCGCATATATCATGTTACTACGAGCGTACGTACTTGTAAGCGGAGGAGTTTACGGTTTCGAAGTATCTAGTCACCGAAAATCGCTTTAGTGTAAATTGTGCGACAGCAGATCTCCACGACAGGTTTCTTTTAATGGACGCGCAACGCGTGGAAAAATTCGGGACCGATCTTCTTAGCGAGTAATCTCGAGAAACTTTATCAAAAGACAAAAATACCGAAAAAAAAAAAGATTCTCTTTATCGTTCAGACAAGATATTGCTAAATATATCAGAGCAGAATTATTACGATTATGATAAATATATTGTACACATATACATATGTATCGATATTTCATATTTATTATACAGATATATTGTAATTATATTGTATCGATTTCGATACACCGATAAGAGTTTAGTCGGAAATGTTAACTTATACAATGTTTTATATATATACATATATATTATATATATATTTGTCGGCGTTCGGTGACATATTCTCTTACCATTGTCATTTATGACCTGTAAACGCCTGGACTTAAAGATCCATAAGTCTATTTGCCACGTTTTCGCATATTTGCAGAGAATCATAAAAACTTCTTTACGACCTTCTCCTTTCGAGTATATGATGGGTTATTACAATAAATGGATGCACTCCGTTCGTCTAAGCTTCGAATTTTACAAAATCTCAAGTTTTCTGATTACTTCCTAAAATCCTATCCTTACCGGTTTTTAACTAATTGTTAAACCTTTTGCCTTAAAAAAATTAAAGATGTTGCTAAAGATATTCTTAGCGTTAAATGAAATATTTATTTATAATGTATACTACTTTGAAGCAACGTATTAACTGGAAAATATGACAAGATATGACGAAATAAGATAATATACGTAATATAGAAACTTTTAAATTATTATTAATACAACGTATATGAAATAATTGATCAATAACATATAAGATGCTTTTGTGCACACGTATAGAATTGTATTTGTCTAGAATGTCTAGATTAAATGTATATTTAAATTATTTAATTTTAATTTACTTAATGGTTAATTAAATTTATACGTATAAATATAGGATACATGAGATTTATTGAGAATAGGTATTGACGGGCGAATAGTAGGTACATAATATTATATCTCCATCAACAAATTTCTAACAAAATAATAAAATTTACATCATTTATATAATATACATCATACACATCAATGCATCATTTATCTTTTATATACTTAAAATTAAAATTATAAAGATAACAACTTTTTTGGAAAAAAAAAATTATTTTAAAATTAATTTAAGATATGACAAAAAAGTACACATTAATAATTTAATGTGTACATCATAAATACCTATATAATTCTTTCTGAGCTTTGGACAGAGAAAATACTAAGAAACACAATTAATTTATTTCTAAGTAAAGGAACAAAATTAAGATTTTGTAAACGATTAAGGTAGAAATATATTGATACAATGGATATAAAACATAGTTGTATACTTTACATTTGTTACATTTATATCATACAATATGGCGATTTCGTTATTTCCTTATTTCCTAAAAAATCGCCTTTTTGAAAATATATATATTGTCAACATTGCATTTACAATAACAAATGTTGCAGTAAATGCAATACGCATTTATACAGTCGGAATATATCCGCGTTTATGGCACAATTATATACATATTTATAGAGATTTACACCTTTAATGTACATATTTTTCGATAAATCCGCGCATTAAGATAACATTATAAAATTATAGAACGTAGATAATTTTCATAATTATTCGTTTACTATAAAAATAATTTTTTTCAATCGATACAAAAACTTATTAAATTCTTTTCTTTTGAAAGATGTAACATTTGATCTTGATCTTGAAAAAACAAAGACAAGGTTTTTCAGGAATATTCTAGTCTTTGTTCCCTGAATTATTTTTTCCACATACTTGCTAAATCATTCGTGAAGGCTTAGCTCGATATTGTAATTAAATTATCAGGGTAATCGCTTATATATACACGCTATAATTAATATAGAATGGAGCTGAAGAAGATACTTGATCTTTTTTCCATTTTTTTATACGTTGCTCATGAGCAAATAAACCGGATCAGATCGATATAATCATTTTATACAAACGTGTGCATTTATATCGATGCACCGAAAATAATTTCTTGAAACAAATTTTTTAGTTAATACTTTTTAAGCACATTGTTTTTTACTACAATTTTTTATATTTATCTTACAAATCTATTTACGTTACGATTAACATATGAAAAAAGACTATAATGTGTGTGTCTTTTACGTAATTAAATGTGTAAAAACGTGTATCAATTTGTAAATGTCTCATTAAGAATGCATCACATTAAAAAAATTGTCGTGGTATTATTGTCGAATTTTTTTTATAATGATTAAGTGAATTAAAGGAGTGCTGTACATTTCATATTAATGACGGTGATATTTCTTAGGCAGCTTTGTTTAATTGTATCGTAATAATCACATTGGCCACTCGCATTATATTACAAATGATATGCAAGACGTTCAAAATTTTAATTATTAATACTCCGAAATAAAGCTGCGTGTACAGATAAATAACGAACAAAGGCCTTTTTGGAGAAATAATTAATTTAACATTAAATTTTTTGGTACTTATTCATTATACGTCACTTCTAATTGGACTCAGCGCCGGTGGCCTTGATCTTAACTTATGTTGTTGAAATCATGGTTCTAGTTTCATTTCGTATACAGTTCATTACATTAAAATGGTTCCACATTGGTTTCCAACTTTCCACGTGAAGCGAAGCCCATCCCCCATCGTCTGCTGTGCGAAATGAAGTCTATCATTGTACAATTCGCGTGGAAAATTGATATACGAAACCGCGCAATAATAATTTTTCACTGCAAGCATCAGGCGACGTGGGATGGATCTTACTTCACGTGGAATGTTGGAAGCCCATGTGGAATTATTTTATGTTAAGAATGATCGTTGTACTTTTAAGTAGAAGAAAATTGGACGTGACGACCGTGCGTGTAATGAATAAGTACCAATTCTTCATTTTTTTTGCTAAGTGGAACAGTTTGTTCAGTGTATAGATGTAACATTTTTAAAACTCTGTATAGGATGTTTTACATATACAATCTAAGAAAGAGAATTATTTAAAAAATATTAATAACAATTAACATAACAATTATTTTACAAAATTCGCCAATGCGCGATAAAAGTGATTCATGGATAATAAACTTTGGTTATTCAAGCGATCGACGATTCTGGATAAGACGGTGATCGATAACAGAATGTTAAAATAGCATTGAATGGAAAATCTCAATCCAAGCTTCGTACGAAGGTTGCTAAAGATCTTGTCTTCCATACGCACTATCCAAGTAAATAGCAATAAATATTTGGTGTTGCTTTCACGTGATTTGATTTTCGGTCAGTCCCATCAGTATACGAGAGCCTATTCGAATGTCAGAACGAGATCGTCTCCTTCCAATCTCATGCCCAGGTTGATTTCAAGACTCTTGATTTTCCCTGCTCGAGGCGCTTGTACAACCATCTCCATCTTCATGGCAGATAGAACGACTAACGGCGCACCTTTTTCCACGGTGTCGCCCACTTTTACCCTGATGTCGATCACTTCGCCAGGCATCGGCGCTCCCAATTGATTGCTGTCACCTTTCGTCGCTTTCGGATGTACATGCAGTTCCTGCATAGCGAATAAGAAAATTCGTATTGTATTTTGCATTTCAGATATTTATTTAATCTCTATTTAATTGCAATCTCATTTTAATTAACTTCAATTTTACTTTCAAATAATAATCTTATTTTAATCTCAATGTAACTGTTATTTAACATTTTAATTTCATTTTACTTATAACGTAATTGAAGTATCAACCTGATGGTATAAAGTAATAAAACTGAAACCTATCAAGTAAAGTTACAATTTGGGCAATTGAAAGTGGGCATCGCGTTTACGTATTATTAATACGTAAACTTATAAGTTATAATTTATTTAGTAATTTACTAAAAGTTGATATATGACGGACATTCGGCTCAGTTTCGAGCCATCTTCAGCGTGGTCAGAACATAAAATAAATACAGTTGCATAATATATCAATTTTTTCGCGTTCTGCCATTTTTCAATGGTAAGTTGCTTTGAAAGTGGGGAATTAGAAAGCTATTATTTTGCATGTTGGTTATTAATTGACTAAATGATCTCTATCTGTGATAATCAACAAGGAAATCAAGATACGATATAAATAAATCAAATTTAACTCACCATATTGTCTAGGTGCGGGAATGTGAATTTGAAGATATTAAGTACGATTAATACAATTGAAAATAGATGTGGAGTCTAGAGGCGGTTATTGAATAATACCGATGTTACAGAGAATAAAGACATAAATACCCGAGGTGAACTGAGTCATTGTAAATACAAGTCAAAAGTAATAAAATGTAATGTAGTATTAGTAAACATCGAAAAACAATAAAACATTGTAATGTGGGCATGTAAATACATATGAACGTCCTGTTTTTCAAAAACATTTCGATTAGTTATTTGTGTTTTATAAGATATAAAGGTTTTTAAATAAAATTAATATTAATTAATGAAATACTCAATAAGTTTCACTTATTATTGTTTCTATGTAACTGTATTTTTTAATGTTTTGACTATGCAATGCTGAAGATCGCTCAAAATAGAACCGAAACGTTCGTCATATATTCATTGACTTTTGCAAATTACTAACTTATAAATTTACGCGCCAATAACCACGTTGCATTTTTAATTGTCCAAATTGTAATTCCACTTTATTGGTTTCATTATTTTCATATTGGATAAAACTGAAAGTCTGCGAGTTTTGCTTACCTTGACAGCCTCTTTATCCTTGATGAACACAGATCTCAGTTGACCGTTCATCTCGAAGAACACTTCGAGTTCCCCATTTTCCGTGAGATCTTCGGCAACCGCCAAGGTTTTGATACTGAGAGTTTTACCCTTCTCAATCGTGACATCGAACTCCTCCCCTACTTTAGGTCCCGTTAGAAAGATTCTGGTCTCGAATTTATCTACCGGGCCAAATTGCTCCCTGAAGTTCAAGTAGTCGTTTGTTACTTTAGGATAAAGTGCGGCCGACATGACGTCCTTTTCGGTGACGTGCGGGTGAGATTCTTTTAGCTCTTTCTTCAAAGCATCAAAGTCGAGTGGTGCTAAACTCGCGCCTGGTCTGCCCTGCACGCGTGGCATGTCCTTGAGAACTTTTGACCTGATCAAAAGTTACGAATGCAAGTTAAATTTAATGAAAGAATTTCTGAAAAATTAACATCCGCATGTACGCATGCAAAAATCTTACCTGAGAGGTTCAGGGAATCCTCCGTGAGGTTCGCCAATGGCACCCTGAAGAAACTCGACCACTGATTTAGGGAACGACAATTCCTCGGCCCTCTTGAGAACATCATCGGCGGTCAATTTGTTTTGAACCATAAATTGCGCTAAGTCGCCGACAACCTTGGAGCTCGGCGTGACTTTGATAATGTCACCGAGCAAGAGATTGGCTTGCCGGTACGCCTTCTTCACGTCCTCGAAGAACTCGCCCAAACCGAGCGAGTAAGCTTGGAATTGCAGATTCGTGTACTGACCACCGGGAATTTCGTTGAGGTAGACATCCGCATTTCCGGATTTCATCGTTGTCGTGCATTCGAAGGGTGCGTAGAGCGTTCTCGTTTGTTCCCAATAGGCGGAATACTCGGAGACATCAGAAAGATCCAATTTTGTATCAATGTCCGTTCCTATTGTGACATTAATTGAAAATTTTCTCAGTTTCGGCACTAATCAAATTTTAATATAATTCCGATTCTTACTGTTAATAAATTTAATCTGAATAAATTGATGAAAATATTGCAATATGACAGCAATTAAAATAATGAGCGTAATTGAAGCTGCCTATATTATCATTCAAATTAAAATAAAAACTGTTTAAGAATTGTCATGTGCAAGTACAAAAGATAAATAAAAATTAATTACTTATGATCGCTCAAAATTAAAAGTTTGTTAAACTATACCGTGAAGAGAAGCGACAATGCCGCCCATAGATGGCTGGCTGGTCATGCCAGACATGCTATCAACGGCAACGTCCACGACGTCAGCCCCGCTCTTCGCACAGGCCAACATAGAGGCTACTCCGGCTCCAGCAGTATCGTGCGTGTGTATATGAAGAGGCACATCCGGATGCTTCTGCCTAATCGCGTCGATCAACATCTCGGCTGCTCTTGGTTTGAGCAATCCAGCCATATCTTTGATCGCCAGGACATGAGTGCCCACTTTGACTAGCTCGTCCGCCAAGTCGGTGTAATACTTCAAATTGTATTTGGTACGATTCGGGTCGCTTACGTCACCCGTGTAGGAAATCGCTGCTTCGACGATACCCCCGGCATTCCCAGCGGCCTCCATACCTAAAGAAAAACTCGCGTTCAACGAAGAAATATTTACGAGAAAATATTCCAAGTATATACTGAATAGCTTTGTGATTAGAATTAAAATTAATCAAGATTATTTTGCTTTGAGAATGTCACTTTATCAGTTGCGTTATAATTGAGTTATATTATAGTTATAGGCCGCTTCAAACTTACCAACGATAAGATTTGGCAAGTAATTGAGCGAGTCGAATACTCTGAAGATGTCCATGCCGGTCTTCACAGCCAGTTCGCAGAACTTGAAGACGACGTTATCGGGATAGTTCGTGTATCCGACAGCGTTAGCGCCTCTCAGTAACATTTGGAATGGAATATTAGGGATGGTTTTGCGCATATCTTCCAGCCGTTCCCAAGGGCACTCGTGAAGGAACCTTAAGGCCACGTCAAAGGTCGCGCCGCCCCAATTTTCCAGCGAGTAAAGATTGCTGAATTTGTGAGCGACGAATGGGGAGATCATCAGTAAATCGTGTGATCGTACACGAGTCGCCAAAAGGGACTGATGGGCATCACGGAACGTGGTGTCCATTAAAAGGAGACCCTTGTGCTGTCTAATAGCCTTGGCGAAAGCTTCCGGACCTTGCTCTTTATAAATATGTCGGAATCCTTTCGGAGGATCCAGAAGTTCTGAAAAGGAGCACAGAAGAGGGTTAGTTTGATACTTTTCTAAAAAGAACGGATTGTTATTTGGCACGTGCTGTTGTTAGTAGGCGTGAAAAATGTTTATGACAAGCGGTGGATTATAAACATCGTTAAAATATAACAGTAAAAAATTAATCATTTATAAAATAATTATGTTTACATGATTATTAATTTAATATTGAATTATATTAATATACTGCATGTTTATAAATATTTTTAACATTTTCTCCTTTTGATTTCGTTCAAATAAGTTCAATTTAAAATTTAATTAAATCATTTAACATATGTATAAAATATAAATATCGAAAGTATAAAAATTTTTGTTATATATTATTTTAAGTATATCATATAGCATTATTAAACATATTTTTTTATTCGAAAAATTTATGCTAAGAAAATATTTTACAAGACAAGCGTAGCAATTGCAAATTAATATATTGCTACGAGCTAAGTAATAAATTAATATTTCAATATAATGTAGCTATATATATTTATATTATTATTAATGGCAGTATTATTAACAACTTATTTAGTACCGGTGTATTCAATATATTAATTAATTATATGTTTAAATTTAGAAAAACAAAGGAATTAAATTCCAATAAATAAATGTCAGCCAATCTGAAAGAATAATGACAAATTAAAAAATTTTATTTATACACAAAATTTTGTTATACTATACCGGTGTTCAGTTTTTAGCTTCTCAAGCTGCGCAATGCTAAATTTTAAAATAATATAAATAAAGAAAGAAAAGGCAATATATATATATATATAATACTGTGTGTAATCATACCTGGTACGTCGGGATCATTGGTCTCTTCTGCAGCTGCAAGCTTAGCAAAGTCTAAAAAAATTGCCAAACAAAAAATAAAAGCATGCGATAAAGAGAGAAGTGTGTACAAGAGGGAAATTAATATTTAAAGATGTAAGTTACTATATAAAAGTATGACAATATGAGTTTTCAAAACATGATTTCCGGGATTTGTCTCAATTAAATTGGATATATCCCATTCGTAAACGCATAGCGTATACCGATGACTTTAAATATAAATGGGTTTTTGTTGATTATGCGTATAGAATGAAATATTGAATTCTTTACGAATAATGCTAATTGGTAACGAAAAACAACATGCTTCTTTATTACTTGTTATTAAAGTAATGACGATAAGTAGAGACATATGAAGATGCTTCATGACCCCATTTATGTACGAATTCGCGCAGTGTGCAGTGTGCTTAATGTAGCGCAGTGCAGTAATTACGGAATTTAGACACAAGAACACACCAAAAAGAAAAAAAATAGATTTTTTTTGTAACGGTTAAACCGAGTGTTCCTATATAAACCCAGCAGAGAAGCGGAAACGATTTGTTACTTGTAAGCAAAAAGGATGTTTACTTATTTTTTCCGTAAATATATTTTAATATATCATGTAATATCACACACATGATTTAATACTGCTTGCTTTCATTAAAGCACTAATAATTTTTAATTGATTAAAATTTAATGAAAAATGATATAATTTTTTAATATATAAAGTCGAGTATGTTGTAACGGTCATTAAATCAAAAAAAAGTCTCATCATGCAAGAAAACATAATAAAAATTAATATAGATATAGATTTAAATTATCCTTTGAGTCATTTGTTAATAGTTCTTAAAAATTAAAAAAAATCTTCAAAAATTTCAATAATACATAAACATTTACAGGATTAATTTGCAGCAATCTTCATGTAAACGTTAATCAATCCGAGCAAAGAATTAGTAGACATCCTGTTTACATAAAAAAATAAAATAGAAAAAAATACGATCCCTGGTTTGCTGATCCACGCATGAAAGCACATCCTCCGTACGCCTCTGCTCTAATTATGGCTAGAGTAATTTTGCCACCTAATGTGGACATTATCTAATTTAACGCTTAATGTCAAAATTTAATAGGACTGGGATTTGGCTATCGAACTTTTCTATGGTTGTAGTTTAAAGTATGTCACCCCCGATTATCGCCATCCTATTCGTTGGTAATCGATCATGTACCTAGAGCAATCTGCGGTATGTGCGGTTTGATGTCCGCTGGCTTCAGTTGAGTAGCCAGTGGCGTGCTCGGACCGTTCACCAGGACGGTACCGATGTAATTGAGCAATTTCTGAGCTCGGTTCTGGCTCGGCTGAAACTGAAAGAGCTGAGGATTTTCGTCGATGAAGTATGTGTCGACAATACCGTTGAGGAACTTTTGATTCTCCAGGACGTTTAGTAGAAAAGGTATATTCGTTTTTACTCCACGCACGCGGAATTCGCGGAGAGCTCGATTCATCTTGGCGCAGGATGATTGAAGATCGCCGGCGTGGGCGATTACCTGAGAAAGAGAGAATATTATTTTTCAAGTATAGATAATATGATAAGTATGTTGAGGTTTCTTTGCGATCGGGATTGTCTCTATGTTGGAATAATTTAAATCTCTACAAAATAATAGAAATTGATTGAATTATATTAGATAATATTAAAAAATCGAAAAAATATTGTTAAAATAGAAATTAAATATTTAATGCTGATTTTTTGTCAGAATTGTTTGGTTTTTTTTTAAGGAAACGTGCAACAATATACTTAGTTTTTTTAGCATTTTTTTTCTTTAACATCATCAATAATCTTATGAAAGAAATATTGTATTATTTATAAAAAATTAACTTTAACGGTGCGACAATGACATAACGTTCAGCAAAATATCATGGGAGCTTTGTCGTGAAATCCGCAACGATCATTTACGTAGCCAATTGTCACTCGTAATCAGGCGGATTATTGTCGATTTTCCATCAGCGGAGTTGAAAAATGAATATAGTGTGCGTAATATGTAGTGATTTACTGGTACCATCCGACGAGGTTTTCTACACACCGTGTGGACATATTTTTCACATTTTAAAGTTTTTTTTTATAATTTTTCACATTTTAAAGTTTTTTTATAATTTTTGAAAATGTTTTATGTTGCTTGCACATGAATGTGTTTAGCTTGATCTGTGGAATATTCCATACTATACTATTCCATACATACAATATAAATACTATGAAGAAAACTAGGCGGCAGTGTGGTCTAGTGGTAGAGCGCCAGACTCGTAATCTGAGGAACCAGGTTCGAGTCCACTAGAGCCATGGAATGTTTTTCCAAAAGCTGCGCCCCTCCGTGCAAGATTGAGGCCCTTGTGCGGAGAAAACTGGGCTCCGTCTTTCGGAAAGAGACGTTAAGCCGTTGGTCCAAAGGGTTAAAGTGAGAGGAGAATGATAGTAAAAAAAAAAATATTCCCGTTATTCTGATCGTTACTTAATCATTTTTCTAACTGTCCATTATCTCAATATTATTTTTTGACTATCCTTTTCCTCTCACTTTAACCCTTTGGACCAACGGCTTAACGTCTCTTTCCGAAAGACGGAGCCCAGTTTTCTCCGCACAAGGGCCTCAATCTTGCACGGAGGGGCGCAGCTTTCGGAAAAACATTCCATGGCTCTAGTGGACTCGAACCTGGTTCTTCAGATTACGAGTTTGGCGCTCTACCACTAGACCACACTGCCGCCCTTGTGTTATTTATATTAAAGTACCAGATATAAACATACAACAATGATACTATTTTGTATTTCTTACCTTAACAAGAAGCGAATCGTAATACGGCGAGATTATAGCACCGGCGAATGCGGAAGCGCCGTCCAATCGGATGCCCATACCTTCACCGGAACGGAAAACTTCTATTCTTCCAGTGTCCGGCTGGAAGCTCTTAGCCGGATCTTCCGTGGTTACACGGCATTGAATCGCGAATCCTCGAGGTACGATTTTTTCTTGCGTCATGCCGAGCTCCGGTAGTGTTATGCCCTCGGCAATTCGAATTTGGGATTGCACGAGGTCGATTCTGAAAGAACGAAGCGGCGTGTAACAATTGACGCTTGCGTAAAGTATATGCGTGTAGTTAATGTTACAATTATATTAAATTATTGAAAAAAGAAGAGAGAAAATGATGAAGAAATGTGAAAAGATATTTATCTTTTTTTTTTACGTTTATTCCATTACCCTGTTATTTCCTCGGTTACTGTGTGCTCCACTTGTAATCTGGCGTTGACTTCAATAAAATAGAAATTTCCAGATTGATCAACCAAGAATTCCACAGTACCGGCATTCGAATAACCAACATGTTTTGCCAATTTGACGGCGTATTCAGTCATTTTCTCACGAACCGTGGCCGACAATACGGGAGCTGGCGCAATCTCGATAACCTGCGTATTTTATAAAGGTTTTGTAAAATTGCTTAGAATGACACTCGAGTTTTTCATATTCTATCCATAATGTAGAAGCGCAACAAGCCCGTTTGCACCACATTTTACGATGTCGAGCTATTATTAATTTGAAAACTATTACGTAAATCTGCGGACTATAATCATGAATCTCGTGTGGTTGCGTCATCGTCCTTGTCCTTGTTTCGGACAAGATGAACGAACGCGTCCGCGGTGAATGTACTTATACCTTTCGTATTCAGGCATCCTTGAGAAATCCTTGAGGAAAAACTAGACGAATTCTAATTTGTTTACAGAATTGGAGAGAAAATTGCTAACTCAAAGCTTTTATATTATGTTAGCTTATAGCAACAATATTTTTATCTTATACATATTTTTCATGATATCGACGTATCTTCTGTATTTAATCTCTAAGAATTTTACATCAGTTATCTTCGTCCCGATATTACAAAGGTGTTAATAAAATTAACTTATACAAGCGTTACTAATTTTGATCGTCAATCGGATGATATCTTCTTGAAAATCATTATTTATATTATCAAATCGTTTATTTATAGTTTTTAGAAACTAATTATAAATTTGCAAAAACATATAATGTTTCTTAAAATGTTGCTGAGAATATTACATTCAATAATCAATATTGGAATAATATTTTTAACTTAATTGTTGCGTGCACTAAATTAAAATTAAAATTAACAGGATACTGACCTTTTGATGACGACGCTGCACAGAACAGTCGCGTTCATATAGATGCACGACATTGCCAGCGTGGTCCCCAAGTAATTGAACTTCAATATGACGTGGTCTCTCAATGAATTTCTCGATGAACATCGCGCCATTTCCGAAAGCAGCCGCGGCTTCCGAAGATGCACGATCGAACATCTCACCGACCTCTTCCATTTGTCTTACGACTCTCATACCTGTTTTTAATGATAAAATTTCTTAATAATGTCACATTTTGATACACGTATAATTAATTTTAAAAAATTGACAGGATATTCTATAAGACTTAGATCCATTTCTTAAATTTTAATAAGATTGAAATGTTTCTTATCTTTAATATTATATTGTATTTATTATTTTACTAATTAATGTTGATGCGCATTATATAATGTCTTATTATGTCAAAATAATTAATGAATGTAGTGTGTGAGCCCTTTTCTCTTCTGTCAAAAATATAGTAATGAATATATGCGTAATTAATATCTACTGTATTGATTTAATGGATGGCATGAAGAAAATATTTTTCTGATATATGAGCAAACAAAATAAAATTAAAATAATTAGTCGATAAAATAATTGATGGATTGTTTTGGTGATATATACCTGCATTAATATTATTAGAGAAATGTTACTTTAACAAAAGAAATAATTTTTAATTATATTAGAAAGACATAGTATTTTTAAATTATTATTGGCTACATAATATTATAATTTCTAAAAATACCATTCTATATATCTATATATTTTACATAACGTACTTAAACACCCATCATTATATGTCATTTATGTCATGCACAAATCGTTATTGTCTAACAGGTATGCACGTCGTTTCGCGATATTATCGCCGAGTAACTGGTCGTAAATGTAGTTCGTGTGCAAATAATTTTTGCATTGTTTGATAACGAATAGACGCGTTTAATGCGCGTAGAACGTTATTCAGCGGAAAAGAAACATTCTTTGTCCATATGATTCATATTTACGATTTTTTATGGCTATAGCCGATTATGTTGTTTCACGGTAAATTTACTTTTATTTTCCACGGAAATTAGTATTGTATACGTATGAATAACGTGTATGCAATAATATAACACCAGTAAATTCGATAATGCCAAAATATCGAATTATTTTCACAATAAAGAAGGAAATCTTAAAACATTCTTTAGCAACGAAAGATTATAAATCTATCGCTGTTTTAATATCCAAAGTTTAATACAAAACTTTATTTTTTTATTAGTTTATTTAAGACTTAATAGGTAGTTTTGGGAAGTTGTAAATATTTCTTTTATATTTAGGTAAACTGAAATGTTGTGACTGTTAGTTCTTGACGTTTTAGTAGTTACGTCTTAGTCATACCTCGTCCTCCACCTCCGTATGCTGCCTTGAAGATAACCGGAAGACCGTGCTTCTTACAGAACTCTATCGCCTCGTCAGAACTTGTTACCGGTCCATCTGTTCCCGGAACGATGGGTACTCCAGCTTCAATCGCGGCTTGTCTAGCAGCTACCTATCGATTAAATATTACACTGTATTTGTTGTATCTTGATTCTAGAATTTTTGAAGAATTGTATAACTAAAATAAATCAGAATTTAAGATTTCTAGCAGGATGTTGAGCACACCCACTTTTGTTGTTTTATTGAACAAAATTCTTTACTTCAACCGAACTGGCAGTCTTTATTTAAAAGCACAACGCGTTTCAACCGAGATTCCGGTCCTTATCAAGTAAACGCTTGGAAAACACTTTATTGTACACAGTGTGGCAGCAATGAGTCTATTATACGAACTAAACAACAAAAAGAGTATAATAAGTAGTTTACGAACTAAAGTATAATACAGAAAGGGTATGATAAAAAGAATTATAATAAAGGAGCAAAGAGAGCACCGCTTATACATGTTTTGTATGTCGAATGGTAATAAACGATTGCAGAGTCATTACCATTCGTTTACGAGTTTATTACCATTCGACATACAAAACATGTAAGCGGTGCTCTCTTTGCTCCTTTATTATAATTCTTTTTATCATACCCTTTCCGTATTATACTTTAGTAACTTTAGTTCGTAAACTACTTATTATACTCTTTTTGTTGTTTAGTTCGTAGACCCATTGCTGCCACACTGTGTACAATATGAAGTGTTTTGCAAGCGTTTAAATGTAATGCACGCACTTGATAAGGACCGGAATCTCGGTTGAAACGCGTTGTGCTTTTAAGTAAAGACTGCCAGTTCGGTTGAAGTAAAGGATTTTGTTCAATTTATTACTCACTGGCGAAGAAAAAGTATCTTATTTGTTATTTTATATTATTACGCTTAAAAATCTTATATCCGAAGCAAAACAATCTGGAATACACTAATTGGAACAAGCAGTTTGTCGCCGTTTATTATTATAAATTTTAATATATTGAATATAAATAACGCGTTAAATGTTCTTAAATATGATATACGTGTCAATAATAATTTACTTTGTCTCCCATTTGTTGGACGACTTTAGGACTAGGCCCGATGAATCTGATGCCAGCATTAGTAACCGCTTGAGCAAAGTCTGCTCTCTCGGAAAGGAATCCATAACCAGGATGTATGGCGTCGACGTTGTTTTCTTTGGCTACTTGGATAATTTCAGAAATATTGAGGTAAGCTTGAACGGGTGGTAGTCCTTTGCCTACTAAATAGCCCTCATCTGCTTTCTGACGGTGCATCTGCATTTTATCCTGCTCCGAATAAATTGCCACGGAGCGAATGCCAAGTTCCGTACAAGCACGAAACACACGAATAGCAATTTCTCCTGAAATATTATGTCTGCGTATTAAGATTTTATACAAAATCGATAAGAAATCGATGTAACTTGAAATCGGGCGTTATATGCTTTATGTAATTTTACGTCAGTTTTACATTAACCGCATCTTAATTCGAAGCTGTCTAATATATTTAATATTGAAAATTAAGAAAATAAAAAAATGCTTTAATCAAACTTTTGTTAAGGAAAATTGATTTTAATTTGATAAACTTATTATCAAAATTTTTTATATGGACATTAATATTTTTGAAATCAACATTTTTTATATTTTAAAAAATATTAATGTCCATATAAAGATTTAAAATAATTTTGAAACATATGCCATTTTTTATTAATCTTGTAATATTTTTAGAATAATAATGTAAATGCAGAAAATATATGTGAATCTCTGAATTCATTGGGACGTATTACGTGAGTAAATTATGGTACACGGTTTAATTAAACGGAGTGCTTAAGATGTACTCGATTTCTCGGTTCTATATCAAGAACAACGCATGTTGATTAATCACGCAACCTTGTCCTACAAAAATGAACAAGTCACTGATAACGTTCATTAACTCATCAATTCGACGTCGATATATCGCACCCAGTGAAAGCAATGATGATTGCTTTCAATGAAAGTAGCAATTATTTGAAATGTGTGTTAATTCTTTTTTCAGTGTTATCAACGAATTTGTATGTACATAGAAATTAAAAGTAACTACAATATACCATAGGGGAATACAATAAATAAAGAGGAGACTCAAATTTTGCTAATTAAATTTCAATTAAGTGTTTGTAACCTATTAAAATACTAAGTGATAAAATTAATAATTGCAAACTGCCGTTATTAATCGTATTAATGAGTTCGCGGTATTTAAAATTAGATTTGTATTAATAATGCATGTAATGTATCGTATTGTCTTATCTGTTTTTTTTACGCCAGATAAGTTTCTTCTTGCAATCTTTCGAAATCCGTTTATAGAAGTCGCTAGTCAAATATTGATTGCAATATAACAAAATTTGATATTTGGAGAGATTAAGATACGGTTTGTAATAGCGATGAAGTTAGGAAAAAAATTATTTTGTAATTAACATTTATTAGATATACGGAATATTTTGTTACGGGAAAAGACAACACAGTAAATGTACATTAAAATGTTGAAATATTTTTGTCCTTCTTTTTAATCTAGTATTTAAAATATTCTTTATTTTAATAAAATATAATTATGATAATATTATAATGTAATGATACCATATATTTTTTTTGAAACATATCGAAAATTGCAAAAGAGAAGTTTATACTATAACTTAACAAATTCTGTAAAATTGACTTTTTACAATGTCTTTTTAAATACCGATGTTTTTAAAGAAAATTTCGCGTTTATAGTGTCGCTTTACCAAAAATGAATGACAATTTGCTCACCTCGATTGGCGACGAGGACACTTCTGATTGGTCTGTATTCTACATTCGTGCCGAAGCCTTTCGTGGCGATCTTCCATATTTGTAACACAGTTTTATGTTTGTTCAACGCTCGATGAGCACGTATGGAATGCATTTTGCCAGTTGTCACGTACTTTTATTAAATTTCACAATATATATTATCACTCTTTTTATCTCTATTCTAAATCGCGTATAAGAAACTAAACAGACTTCTACACTTTATCTTCACAAAATGAATTAATTCCTTATCGAGACTGCTTAGGCCGATTTAATTATTTTGTGTGTCGTCAAAGAGTGTTTGCTCGTTGACGAGTTTTAAAGCTATTTCTTTCTCCCGCTGTCTCGGTCTTCGTTCGAACTCCAAATGATCGTGTGATCGCGATAACGATGTCCTCAAGAGTTTTCGTTAGACGCAGCATCCAGTTTCCCGGAACGTTCTTTCTACGGCATGATAATTTTTATCATAAATTCAAACGTCCCTTTTCTCGTTTGTTTCTCTAAGTTCTATCTATCTAATAGTAAGTGCTATATCTTCCCTGAGAACTTTCGGCAAGTATTTATAGTATTTCTGAAACAGACAAATTACATTCTCTTTTTTAGTACAATCGTAATTATTATAATATTATAACTAAGATTAATTTATAATTTTCATCTCGCGTATTCGATTTTTATTAAATTGCATTCTTGTCATTATTTTTTCTTTGTGTGCTGTACACATTATATTTAAAATAAATGTTTCTTTGCATATGCAAAGGGCAGCAAATTGTGGATTTCGCATAAGATTAACTTTACCTTGTATTTGTTTACAGAATTTAAAAATTCATTATTATATTTCATTATTACACCTATATTGGAAGCGGCAAAAATTAATTATTATGCCTATAAAGTAAAGATTTGGATTTGTCTCGATGCTTTATTTTAAATGATGATTATTGCAGATAATAAATTAACAAAAGCGACGAGTTAAAAATAATTTCTTTTTACGATGAAAGGAATCTGTCTTTTTGTCATTTTTTTATGTATTGAAATATCAAGTCAAATTTTTCGTTACCAAAGGAGCGAGATCAAAATATAAGAAATTAACGAGCGATTAAGTTCGTGAAAGATCAAATTGTATCGTAACACTTATTGAAGTTTATCCGCAAATTGACTCATTGACGCATCGTGACTGACATTGAGCGTGAGGTTGGCAAGTTGCAAGCGCATCTGAATAGAACGTTAACATTCAACTACGCATGATACAGCATATAATATTTGTTGACTTCTGTTTTTGGCGTGCCAACCAACTGTGTCGGAGTCACGTGCAATATTTGCATTACTTGTATCGAAAACACGTAACGTAGAGACATTCTTGTGGAAATTTTGGACTTCGCATCAAGCGAATAATATATGATTATCGATTGCATATCACGAATACAATATCATAAATAAATTGTTGATGCGCGCATTAAGGAACAATAATAATGATGATATTTTTTTATACACATCACATTTTATACACAGATTATATGTGTATAACGTAAACATTTAATTTTTTTATACACATTCAGGGTGTTTAGATAATACTACTTTGGTTTACGGTGGCGATGATTATGTGCACTCTGCACTACTCTGCAGCATGATTGATGGTCAATGACCATTCAATAAGTCATCAATTTAATACTAGTAAATCGCACCAATAACGTTATATCGTTTCATAGCTTTGACGTAGAAACATCCGTTTAAATTTCTTTTTTATAAATAAAAAAAATATTTTTATGAGTCAGTTATCACAGATAGATTTTACTTCCAGTGACGCAGAACGTCTTAATACATATACCAATGTCAATTATAGATCGCAATGCGATAAATTGATCAAATAGATCATGAAAGTATTATGAAAATCGATGTGCAATTTTTATTAATCTGTCACTGATTTTCGCTTATATTATCGTTTACGTGTATCGCGTTTATGTACTTCTTATCTTAGAAGATATAAATTGCGTTGTAACTGGAAATCAGCAAAGTAAATCGTTTCATGAATAAATTCTATCGTTTATTAAACTTCATGATAGTGGAAATGCGAAACAGCAAAGTGATTTAAGATTGACTTAATATTAATTTATAGCGTGTAAAAAATTGATGATTACAGAATTATTAAGAATTAAAAGAATTATTTAGATTGAAATAGGTTTTAGCATTTTTTATTAAATATAAGTTTGCAACCAACTATAAAATTTCTATTTATGTTTTTAATAAGTACATATATTTGCCTGAAAGTTTTATTTAATCAAATATTTAGATAATCTCTTATTTAGTTAATTATTTTTTCTATTTAATATGTATAGTAATATTTTATGCAAGTTTATCTCAGACAAATATGTTTTAATTACATATTATTAGTTAAATATATCTGAATATATTGAAGATACATACATGTTTATATCTTTCAATATAGATTCAGAAATATAAACTCATATTGAATATATTGAACATAAACTTACAACAGCTTTGGTAAATACATAGTAATTTTATTCATACATCAATATTATTTGTTATGAAACGGTATGAACATGGAATTTATTTCCTTCTTCTTTAGACATCGGTGATTCATATCGTCTCGAGTCTGTTACATGTATACTTGACATACACGATAACGACAGAAAATGGCGCGTCTTATAACATCGAGAATTGCCGGAAAATCACTTGTCGTGTCGATAAGACATACCTTTGCATATCGATCAATGGAAACCATTCGTAATTATCATTCGTAATTATGGGCCACGTATTCGCCGTAAGCGGATGTTGATCGAATCTATGCGCAATTGAAATTATTTTGATGTCTTATCTGCCATCCTGAATGAAAAAGACTTCCGATTTGATGATAAATATATAATTGTCATTGCGATAACTAAATATGCTCGGGAAATTCCGATCTGTATTACATAATAGCAGCAAGTTAATGCGATGTGTACGTATATATTTCAGTAATACAGTATACAATATTTCAGTAACACGCTAAAAAATCGTGATTTGTATAACAAATTCTCTTAAATTACATGATGATAAACTAATTACTTATAATAGATAGTAAAGTGCTGATAATGTTATTATTATTTTTATTATAAAAGCTATGCAGTCATAATTTTGCTTTATTGAATTATATATTGTTTATGCATATAATTCATCGCACACTATGCCCTGTTCTATGTATAATACATTTTAATTTTAAATTCTTGTGTAAAATATATTTGCCTGGAAAATAATGTGGTATACATTATTCGCGTATGTTGCAATAATCAATGTACTATGTGCGGATGAAACCGAAATGTGAACGAAACGGATGAATTTCCTGGATTGGATCTCGTATTTACGATGTGTTTTTACTAAGTTACTTACGGATGATATAGTCGTCGAACGAATAGGACTTTCGACCGAAGAGAACCGACAGATTCCTTCGACAGATTTTCGCAAGACCTTTGTCCCGAATACAGTCCCGATCGACCTCGAAATCTTCGATTGGCGTAAATGAATTGCCTCGTCTGGCGTGTCGATTACGAAACGAGACATTCATAGCATTAATCGCGTGAACTATTCACCTTTCGTTCGCATAACACGCGTCGTTGTCCTGGTTCTCTTACTTTTTTTTTCTGGTACGCGTGATGTAAAGAGAACTTGACGCGATTCTCGTTTTGAAAATGTAACTGATATCCGTGTGCAGACTTCGTGCACTTGCGTACATTACATTACAAGAAATTATAATTATAATTATTGATTTAGCGAGAAGTATAAGATAAGATAAAGAAAGATAAAACATAATACGATTAGCACGCATGATAAGAGAGTAAAAAATTTGAATACGTTATATTTACAGTATATATTTAATACAGTATATACTTAATCTTCAATAACAATAATAACAGGTGCATTTGCCGAAAAAAAGAATATTTAAAAATGCAATAAAAATTGAAATAAAAAATAATTTATCATGAAAAAATTGTAGGATTTGAATATTAAATATTTAGGAAATATCTAATAAAGTAATATTTTGTGATATAACGTGGTTCTGTGCGTTGATCTTTTTAACTTTTATAACGTTATCTATAACGTTAAATGTTATCAACATTTTAAAACAAATATATTTTCAGAGCATTTTGCTTCGTCACCATCATCATAGTTGATTCACGAATAGAATCTTCTCGTATAGGCTACAATTGACATAAATCATATTTCACATCCGTAGTAATGATTGTTGTGGTTACAATTCGCATGAAGACGACCTTGCGACTTAATTAACTTCTCTGTTTTGAATTCTAAACAGTTTCTAATACCAGAAGATAGATGTTTTACATCGCTTATTATCAGTTATTATTTAAATTTACAATCAGTATGTAAATCAGCATATAAAGAAATTAATTGCTATATTTCGTGATGACAGAAGCCTTAGAATTGCCTGATATATCTGTTTTCTACCTGCAATATAATTATAGGATGGTGATTCAATCAGAGAACTGATAGCTGGCTTCATTTTCACCAATCATCCTTTTAAGGTTTGGGTACGAGGCTATAATTGAGTAGAGTTTCTATGTGAGAATGTTTTATACTTTCACTCTTATCGATTTTATCAGGTTTTTATTTATTACTGCGATACACATACACAAGTTTAAATTGCAACACCCAGATAATTAAATCGATAATTATTAATTTATTCAGGCGAAACGGATCAGTTTATCAATGATATGCAACGCGTCCGTTTTACTGCATACCACATTATTGAAGGACATTCACTTGTTAATGGGATATGTAAATGCACAAATGTAGTTACACTGCAGAATACTTTCGATCCGAGTCATTTCGTGTCGTTATGTTTTCAAAAACAGCTGATCCACTATCTATATACATGGAATCCAGCACACACACCATAAGTCTGATATTTTTATATAATGAATTAGAATTTGCGCGTGGAAAAGAAATATTATAATCAATATAATTATAGTGGACGAGAATAGAACAAATAAAAATAGAATATGCTACAGAAGGAGTTCATACTAAAGTTCATTGGCATCATTTGTTGGCAACTCTTAGAAAAACGATTATAATAAGACTCGGTCAATATGTACGCTCTATATTGATTCCACACAATGAGAACCTCGCCCACACAGAATCTGTGTAAAAGCTAATCTGTCATCTTCGTCTACAAGTAGGATTATCCTGAAAAATATTATCGAAGATATGAATTACCGAAGATCTATTTTTACTTTCTCAAGTAATAAGTATAAATAAAAGTATATGAAAGTTAAAAGATATATTGATGAATAAAAAGTGATTTAAAAATAAAAGTAGTAAAAAATAACAAAAAGGAGAAAGAGTTGCGAGAGGATGAAATAGAAAAATATCGAATGGCTCGCATATACGGAACGTGAGGTGCACGTGCTGTCTGCAGTTTCCACGATGCGTCAGTCGTGCGTACGCGAATGAACGTAATACATTGCAATGAAGGCTATCTTGTCAGATGAATTGATAGTCTACCTTGATTATCTAATTCATTCATCACAACCATTAAAAAAACGGAAAATACTGATTAATTCCACATCTTGTCTAGTCTGCTACATTTAAATATTTTATTCCTTATACGTGACTCACGAGTAAAGAAATTTTTAACTGTAGTCCATGGGGTTAAACAAATCAGTTTTTAAAAAGAAAGTTTTTTAAAATATCTTAAAATTATTAACGTAACAATTATAATTAAAATTATAATTAAAAATTAGTTTATGGAAAAGTATATCAATTCTTGTTTTTAAAAAGTTTTCTCCAAAGTCAGCATTTATATTCCACATTAAATATTAAATGCTATATAATTTAATTCTCGATTTTATTTGAATCACACGCACCGTTATCACACGCTAATCGGGCATATTTAGCGTCAGAATTGTGAGTCAACATATTCTGTACGTATACATGTATATACGTAGTTTTGAGAAAAACATTAAATACAGCAAAAAAGCTATCGCCACATTTATTTTTTACAAATATTATTTTTTTATAAAATGTAAAATATAAGTTTTTCATAATATGTATTTGTTATAAATTTTTAATATATGTTTTAATTCGCGTATGACGGGGGTGATTATATCGCTGCTTTCTCTCTTTTATGTAAGTTTTGACTGAGTTCATGTCAGTAAACAATTTATTTCACTTTTATCGTAAAAAAAAAACCTATTATGTATGGATGGAAACAATTTATGCAAATTATTGGTCTGACTACTACGTATTATCAAGCGATTTGTTTTCGTCTCAACGTTTGAATATCCTTCAAGGATGATATATCTCGATCGCTCTGGAAATATTCAAATTTGAATTTTTATCTTTCCTGATGATACAACAGTATCTTTGCTCTCGGCGATAAGAATGCCATTTCTTTGAGATATCGAAGAGTGTGACCTTTGGCCCTGCATTAACACGCCACTATGACTGTAAAGATTTGCCGTTATCCACTAATGTGCATCAGCTCTTATGACTTTGTTCAAATTATTAACACTTGCGCAAATACTTGAGTGACATAACTCCCAGTAACGTAATGATTAAGAGATTTTTATCGTGAAAAGAATTGTTTGCTACTATACTCAATTCTTTCAAGTTGAAGTTTTTATATCGATTATTTATCATTTCTTGCATACATAATATTTATTATATTTTCAAATATACGCCCATAAAAATCAGAGTAAGTTATTCACGAAAAAGAATACAATTAGTGAACTACGAAACATATCAAAATATATGCACCTCTGTAGATTAAAATGAGACACGATCCGATGAAGAATATACTATAATTGAAATTTTCTCCTTGAAATGCAAAGCTTTTAGATTAATATTCAATTTATATAAAATTTTGTAATAGTTATTCAGATAAAACAATAAAATATTAATTCTTTCTCAGAATTTCTAAATTCTCTTCAACCCGAATAGCTCTTATCGATTTGATGAAATATGGAATATATCCCAAAATGTATTCTAATTGAATCTCATTCATTAATTCCAATTGTGTCTGAATTATAACATCATTACAATTACAAATTAGAAATACTACAACAGAAATTATGTAAGCGGCCAGTCCAAGACTGAACAGGTTTTATCATTATGTATTCTTTATACACGCAATGTCAGTGAAGTATTTACAAAATGAAAAAGCTGTCGCTTGTAATTGGAGAAGAAAATTCATTTTCCTCCTTGCCTCATTGCGAAATCGTCAACGTCACACTTTTCCACATATTACGACACACCGTTCACCGCTCGACGCACTCGGAGCTCTGAGTGAGCTTGTACTCCAATTTTGGTGAATCACTACCGAACACGAGTCTATCGGGTATCAATAACAATGCGTCACTAGAGGTGAACGTGCAGCCGATCCTGTCGACTTCAGTCAGCAATTCGTATACTTACTGTGTCGCTCACCGAGAACGAGGTATATAGCCCAGACTCCGTCCGGCTGAAGTCTAAGCCGCACTGAACGATCTCTCTGGCACACGCGCTCGACGTCCACGGAAATAGAGGCGATTGGCAGTCGAACCTGCGCCTTGCGCAGTGTCACAGTGTTTAACTGAACGGTTGAGTGTGCTGCTGCCATCTCCTGGTGATAATGGTTGTCAAAGCTTTCCTGATTGTTTTTTTCTTAATTATCAATTAACGTTAGATATTTTTCTTTTTTATATCTTTCTTCCCTTGTTTAAAATGCAGACATATGTCTGCGCTCTGAGTAACAGAAAAAAGAAAAATTCTAACAATAAATAGAAAGCATAGGCAGACTCTGCTATAGCTTGATTGGGGGATGAAAATACAAAAATAAGGAGATGCAATTATTATTGATCAAAACATCGATGTTTCGTTTTTTTTTTTGGTAGTAATTTAATTATCCCGTTTTATAACGTACTTATATTCAGTTCTGTGGATATCTGTAGATTAATGGTGTAAATTTCAATTGAGTATACTTCAGAATCATTGAGCGAACTACCTTACAAACAAGATTGTAAAATAGTTACGCAATTTTTGATAAATTGTGTAAGTTGTTTACTTTTTTACAGAGTGAAATTAATCACTGCGGAAATTGTGTTTTAACGTGAACACTGTGGAATTGTTTCTCAATATTTTATTTGTATACATTTAATAGGCCCTAATTAGGCGTGAGCTCTAGTCCATTTCCAACTTCAATTAACAATTCAATTCTCAATAATAAACGGACCACGATCGGTAAGCCGCATCGTGATTGTCGAGACATACGTGTAGGATCGAGGCGTCCAACAGGATTATGGCAGAGATTTAGCACATATGTGAGGCTCGAGTGGATCGATGGTTATCCGCATCGCGGAAAATCACATTTTGCTTTGATAGCTATGCATAGAAATATATTCGAATGCGTGCAAAGACACGCGCGTGTGTATCAATTTTCTATTTCTTCTAACAAATAAAATTCAGTTACCGCTATCACGATAATTGTTTCAAAATCCTGAGGATGATTATATTATATTATCCGCCATATCCTTAACAGACACTTCGAGTCTACGCACATACAATGTTTATAATATATATACATATACACGAAATTGTTTTTGGCCTATCCTAAGCTAGCTAATGCAAATAGGCCGTGCAGCGCAGATCCAATATGGATCGTTATATAATAATCTAACACATCCTCGGTCTTGTAAACAATTTTATATGCAAATGAGTATACGTATGTAATTATTTGATAGGATTATATCCTAGAAAGCGCATTATTGTATTGATTTCCGAATCAGGCTCATCATACATTAGGTAAATAGCATTTCAGGGCAAAGCTCTGTTAAATTCGGCAAATATTTATGCTTTCATAGAAAATTATTTCTCAATTAACTCAAGAAGAGTCTTGAGTTAATTAATTAATTATGTGGCCACTAATTAAATCATAATTTTTTACAACCTTATCTATAAAATATTGTTTGAATGTTTTGTGCTTTTATAATTTATGAATTATTTTGTGATTGTTTCTTCTAATCTTTCAATTATAGTATCGACAAATTAAAGCGTCTCAATTTTATGCGCTACACGGTTTTGTTTAAAATATGCGTGTATATATATACAGTAGTCCATTACAGTTCCATCATATTTATAATATATTTATATATATTTATATTTATTTATACATGTATATATACGTGGAAGTCAAAAATTAATAAAGTTAAAAAAATATAATCTTCAAAATAGAAACTATAACCGTCTTTCTCTTCAGCTACAGCGCTATTGTGTCACTTATGAAACCCTTATTTCTTTCGAAAACGCATCGAACATCTTTTTTTTTTGTATATATGCTCTACTAGTGCATACTGCTGTTTGTCGACACGGAGTCTTCGGGACGTCCGTCTCTCGAAAATCGCGCAGTCGATTCTAGAATGACTTTTCCTTTTCTTTTCCACTTTCACTTGTTTCACGCAATTTTCACGAAACGGCAAAGGTCTCAGAAAATTATTGATTTGAGCGATAGTCCTCTCTCATAAGTCCTCAAACAACTTTTCTAAAAACCGACCTATCACATTCAAGTAAACACGTGACGGAAAAGTATTCTTGTCTCTATCCTGTTGTGAGTTTATTTTTTTCTTCTCTCTTTAATTGTCCATTAGAGGCCTTATAAATAATTTCGCAAACTATCAGCCTCTCAAAGTGCCTCCAACGAATTTCGCAGTCGTGTTTGAATAAATACTATAAGAGCTTAATATACGAAAAATCACGAATAGTTAATTAGTATACGGTTCAAATTTTATATTCTTAACTACTTTTTAAATATTCCATACAGATGGTCACCGGATTTCCCCTGCTCTCTTATCCATTTGCAATATAATGATTATAATTTATTCACGAATTTTACTGCAGAATCGCTATGTCGAATTAAATATAATTCCTCGATATTCAGTGCTAAATTTACAAATATCTGAAATTCAATTACGTTTTTATATCATTGACATTTTATCGTTTACAAAAAGTTTACAATTCGTATTTTACAAATTATTACATTTGTCCAAAATTATTCAATAAAATAAAACTCAGAGATTTTTTATTTCAAAATTTTAAAACAAAAACCAATATATAATATGCGTAATTTTATTATAAATTAATATTGTATTAATTGTATTAATTCCATTCAATGAAATATTTTAGAAGAAATGTGATAAAATTTGTGAAGCCAAAGGTGAGTTGTGCAATGGATTCTAATGTAAAAGATTAATATAAATTAATGTAACTTATAAATATAAATAACTATCACTTACAAGCATTAATATAATATTTGTTACGAGCAATTAATATTTACATAAATAAATAAAATCTACTGAATACCGAGAGATTATTATAAATAAATATGTCGAGGTATAATTGGAAGTAAGATCGATCAAAGATCGAAGTTACTCTAGTCGCTCCTTAATTACAAATAATAAACAAGAATTTTGTCAAAAATCTTATATGATGTTAAACTAAATACGCTTTATGATAAAGTTTTCTTTCGCTGATTATAATATGACGAGTGATTCATTATTACAAAGCATGTATGCAATCTAAATGAATATGATAATATACTTTATTGTACTTGCGTTTCTCATAGGTATCTCTAGATGGATTTATAACAATGATATTGTGAATTCAATTTTAATTATTGGTTGATTACGTGAACTGCATGCGATATATGTGAAATTAAATGGATTCCATCAGATCGCTTCGTTTAAGATTATATAGCTACAGTTTTTCACCTTTGACTCAAAAATATTGAATAAAATTTATGTAACAATATGAATATAATTGAAATTGTTCGCAAATTATTTCGCAGCATCTATTTTTCATTAAATTATTTTGTTTAATTCATCGACAATAAGAAAATTCAGATTTTTAATCTTTGAGAAATAATTATATCTATAATTTTTTTGTATGTTGCATTGCTGATTATTTTTGTAAATAAATAGGTATGAATTTTGCATGAATAATTTCTGGATAAAGTGTAATAATTTCTAGATTTAAATATATATTGATGTAACATGTAACCAGCCGCCTCTTTTTAATTCATCATGAGATTTTTGCTGACAATTCAAACTGATTTTTTAAATTATTTATATAATAATATTTAGCTATTTGAATATTTTACAATAAGTAAATTGCATATTAATGTAAGTTTCACCCCGTTTGAAATAACGAAACTACGAGATAAATATTGTAAAGTATGGAATATATAAGAACTAAAATAGATAAGACTCGTGTTGCGCATAATAGAAATTATATACTAATAAAACGGATTTTACAAATAGTAACTTGCACAAGCGTGTCTCTTTATCGAGTTATCGTCACGATTTTATCTTGAGCGCTTTACCTCGAATAAAATAAAATAGCAACACTGACTCTTGGAATCAATCTTGTGGAATATTCTAGGCTAAAGCTCGAATAGTTAATATTAAGTATATCGTTTTGCGCATCGTCCTAGATCGCTTGACAGTGGCTAAAAATTTACATTAAAAAAAAAAACAATCAATTATTTTAAAATTTGTCAAGCGCAATTATTGTCAAATATCAAATTGCATAATTAAAGTAAAGATTCACAATTAACAATTTTACGCAATATAATACGAATAAATTAATACACTTGTTTTTACGCCAGTAAAACGAAAAGTAATTTAACAAAAGTATCATTTTTAGATCTTAAAATCATGGTAAAAGCGATCGTAAAATATTATATAAGTCAAAAGGTTACAGCTTCTAAACTAAAGTTTTACTTTAGAGATGTCCATTTATTTTAGACACATTGCATTCTTAAGTATATAATACTTTGCGATGTACTTTTCTCATGACGACGTCAACAATCATAATGTATATCCATGTCAATCTCAATTTTGACACAATTTTTGTTTAGCTTTCCCCGTGAAAGATATAATTTATATAGGAAGATATGTATCATTTTCATGAAACGATTCTGTATGCTTTTACATAAATATCATTTTATCGAAACAATACATTGGTGAAGCTGCCTATAATTAAACTTCCAGTTACCGCGCAAGGTTCGGATTAATTCAATATTTCTGTCACGCAAATATTTCTGGCACACTTCCGATGCAATATCAGCGATCTGCTCGTCATATTTTGCAAAATATGGTATTACGTTTCTCCGTGCGACAGATATCACTGAGTAAACGGCGTGTGGATATCGATTAAACGATGTTCCTGATAGCACGTTCGTCAAACATCACTTTTAATTAAACGGGGCTGGAAAGCGGGCCCTTTATTGTAGCTGGCAGTACGGCTACTTTTGTACGCAGATAGAATTCGACTGGCGTCAGAAAGTTAAAAAGCACTTTTCGCTTCTTTTTTTCGAGACCCTAGAAAAGTCGATGACACACATATAATACCTTATAATCGTATATCGTGTATTTATATACGTATATCGTGTACGTTATAGAAAGTTTAGCAAATATAGGTGGCCGAATTAAGGAGACATCTCTTTCGGACTCTAAAGTTATTTATCGATAACATCTTGATTCTAATCACGGCACGTTCATTTTTAACATTTACTTTCTCATGCTATTGCGCGTTATAAAGGTTGAAAATTTTTTTCTCCTAAATCCCTTGATTAATTTTAACCTACCTTTCGGCTGTATACTTTATTATTATGTAAAATTATTTTTAACTTTTGCACCTCTTTTTGCGCAGGAGAGCGTGCGTCGAAATCTGCAGATTAGAATTAAAACTAATTAGAATTTTAAAGATGTCATTTATGTTTTTAGAATACTTCTTTAGCTTTTATCAAATTTTTAATTTCGTAGGAACTTTTAAAGAAATTTATAAAAAGAGTACAAAACACAGTTTTGTTTTACTGTTTTTCAATAGTTTATAAATTTTGGTCTCCTTAACTTGCCAGTGAGATACGTATTTTTTCTCTGTATATATTTATATATATATATATAGTTTGTCAGCATGGCATACACACAATATTGTGCGCCCGTCATCGGCGGGGTTGTAAAGCCTGCCGATCCTCATCGCAAACTTAAAGTAGTAATCAACAAAACTTTCCTTATACAACTTTTTTTTTACCATCAGCTCGATTATCGGAAGATTAATGTCATATCGATACATCGTTATGATCATGTCGCTAGTGGAACTGTACATCACAGTTGCAACAAATGTATAAGTAGTCCGTCACTAATTTATTAATGAGCATGTAAACCTGACACTCAAACGAAAACATGATGTTAAGAATGATTGTACAACATGATTGTTTCTCTGCTTGTAAGAAGCCCTCGTTAAAAAAATCTGCCGTGGCAGATAAGAAAGATAAAACCTATCGGCGTAACAGAGCAACGCAGCGAGCGATCTCGCGGAAAATGAATCTCGTGCAGATCCTCATCTCAGGCGGGACCAATCACGTTGTTCGCGCATTCGTGTCGCGAATTCTCTACAGCTGGCTACGTTGTAAAAAAATCTGTCTCGTATATCCCCCTTGCCCGCGTCTAACGATCTTCTATCTTTCGATGTGGAAGACGCCTAAGTCTAACCGACGCGTGTGTGTGTGTTTGTAAAAATAGGCAAGTCTTACGCGCGCTATGTACCGGGTGCGTCGTGCTCGTCGCCGGGATTTACTCCTTTTCCTCGGTCTCTTGGCTCTCCGCGCCCAGCAGGGTCGACTCGTGCTCCTCGACCTCCGGCTCCTCGACGTTCTGCCCGGCACGTCTGAGCGTTTTACGTGCACTACGCTGCACGTGAATCGTCAGGGCGATTAGGCCACATGCCGTTGCGCACATTCCTCCGAAGATTGAGTAAACTGTTACCATCGACATGTGATTCACGGTCTGTAAATTCAATGAAGCGAGGTCACTTGAACGGTAATATCTTTAATATACGAATATAATAAGGAGTATTAAATCATGCACTTCTCTTTCCTTATACTTTCTCATGTTTCCATTAATTTTCATTACACGAAACATTTTCATTCAGCTGAGATGAAATATATCGTATATTAAATGTTTTTTTCTCTTTTTTTACATAAACGTTATTCTTTATGGCAAATTAACGCCTAAGTCTAATCGACGCGTGTGTGTGTGTTTATAAAAATAGGCAAGTCTTATTTGCAATTAGTATTAAAAGCAATGTTAGTTTAATCAGCAATACGTATATGTGTGAAATTCATATAAAATATAGATGTACAAATCTCAGAACTAAAATAAAATGTTAAGAAAAACTACATCTATTTAAGAAATCCAAAGTCACTGTGAAGTAATAAAGAAAATCATGCCTTATTCTACTAAAATTGTTAAATCGCTTTTTTATATAATATCTTGGCCATTTTGGTGTTGACAAATATTGTTAAATAAATAAGCATTCTTTCGATCGATTGTTCACCGGCTGCTTTAATTTACTATTAGGTCAAACGTCGGTCTATACGGCTTTGCGTGCACGATAATACGTTTTCGCCGGCTCCCGTTGGCCATCGGCGCAATAACCTGCTTGAAATTCTGATTTGTGCACCCCGTAATGCACGGAATTCACGATAGTGTTCCGTTTAATACCACTGAGCCTCCGTCTGTACAGCTATTTGCGTCCGTCGTTCGCGGAATTTGATTTAATATTTCGATCGAGACATGTAGTAAGCTATTACGCGTTATGTATAACATATAAATGCTCGTGATCAATTCACTGAATTGAAAGGAAATGGAGAAAATATATAAAATAATAAAATAATAATCTCTAAAATATCTCTAAAATATAATTTTTTAAGACACATTCGTATAGCTGTATAAGCAGAAATAATATAATTCTGTATCGAATAAAATAAATTTTTCTTTTCTTGAGAATATAATGCTTTTTACTTCTCAAGGATATTGTAAACTTTATATCATGTATTTATTGTCTTTTCTACTGCATTTTTCAAATTAAAAAGCTCGCGAATGATTTTGCGATCCACCAGCTTCACCAATGTCGCTCGTATAACACCGCGATATATAATCCACACTGTTTCCTTATCCACCAAAAAATGAATATTCATCAGAAAATGTTGCTACTCTCTGTTACCCCAGTTACCGTTTAATATGCAAAATACAAACCGGCAGACGCCACTGCATCTGATATAACTACTACAAGTCGGGTATACCGGTAAATGTATGAATTAGTAGGTACTCAAGATCCTATTAATCCCCTTGTGTATCATGACTGGTATTTTCAATTCCACGGTAAATTAAGCATTCCGTCGGTAAAAGGCATTCTGCACGAGACGCGTTGTAAAATGGAGCGCGGTACTATATGTGTTGTACACAATTTATGAAAATTGGATAAAGCAAAAGCATTTTACTTGGCGAGCAGCTGTTAGCTCGATAAGTCCGCTTAAATATGTAACGAAAAAGCAAAAGGCCTGAAACATGCAAAAGTTGTTGAGCACGTGAAAATATTTGGTGAAAATATTTTGGCGAAAATGTCGAGTAAACGGTTTCTCTCTCTCTTGTCGCTTGTTGACTTTTTAATAGGAAATTTATCTTTTCAGTAGACGAATTTTTATTGGTTGTAAAATGTGTCGTTTCAGCTAAAGCGGAAACTTCATCTCTTTTTATCGTAATAAAATTACTACGATAAAATTTTAAACGAAACTGCGACTCCAACCCTTTTATAAACGCATAACGTATTTTGCGCGATTGCTTTTTTTTTCCTAATGACGTTCGTGTAGTCTGCGCGCAAAATCTTTAAGTGCAGCGCAAGCATTCTCAGGTAAGCTTTATCGGCTCTAGGGAGAACACGCGGCTTTTATATTGATTGGCCAGCGAGGTCGATGTTTTAAGAAAGAGCGACTTTTTCCTCTTCTGTAACTTCATTTGCGCGAAAATCTTCTTGTTGCGGGAGATAAAAAAGAATGGAAGCAACGGGGAGAGAAATATACATTCTATGTATTTATATTAAAAAAATATAATAGGATGCGATATCACGAGACATTTCGCGGAAATCGTTATAAATACGTAACATGTTGCAATCTTCCGAGAAGGAAGTAAAAGTACCACCGCTGTCCCGATGGGAAACATGCGGGATAAATAAAGGCTCCGAGCAATTCCTCGTCCGCTTTTAGATTCACGAACATGCTCTGCCTATCGATCGGACAGAGTTTCAGTTTTAGATATCTTTGGTGCAACGCGATCAATATTTATACAGGACGAAAAATTTCGAATCGCTAAATTCGAAAATATGAGAAAAATGTATACGGAAACGATATAATATATCTTGCAGATCAAGTCGGAGATATAAAATCATCCTGTAAAATTTTGCTTTTTTCTAAAGTGTAATAACGGCGGTAATGAGATGAGTTTTAAAATGTAGAAACTCCTAATGGGATTAAATTAAAAAATCTTGAGATGCTTGTTTAAAGAGTAAAACTTAAAATTTCTTTCTCTCTCTTCTCTCCTTTTTCAAAGTGCTTTTACGATAAGTAAGAATTATATATATAATTATATATGTATTACACAAATATATATAAGACAGAAGAGAACGTCGAATTAGCAACATTCAAAGGGTCTTACCAAAGTACGATAAAAATAATCAGTAAAATATGCGAAACTGTAGAATAAACATGCGGAAAGAAAAGCTTGTCTAAGAAGATAATTCTGGAATAAGGAAAAAGCAAGACGTGCGAGAAAATGACGAGTTAGCAATTTTTACATATAGGTGATTCGCGTGATCGATGCACTCTATCAAAATGCAGGACACTCCAGATCCCCCTTGAACGCAATTCCCGGAGAACGTACGAGCGTTTCGATCGAGAAATACGAGCACTTACAAACACTTTCCACTTGACGTCGGAATCGGAGGGCTCGCCGAAGAACCACTTCTGGGGCCAGGGTTTTATCGTGCCTTCCGGCGTTTTGAATATCAAACCCTCGAGACTCAGACGGGGCGCGAGGACGCTGGTGGTGATGTTACCCTTCTTGTAGGAGGCTATCCCCGCCTTCACGTACATCTGCGGTATGGTCTCGTTCTCTCGCAGCTTCAGGGTCACCCGCGGCATTTTCGGCTTTTTCGGCGTGCTCAACGTTTTCGTGTTCTCCGTCGTGCCGCTCGTGGACGCCTTCGACGTTGTCGTCGACGACGCCGAAAAAATCGACGGTAGAACGGAAGTCGTTGCCATTTGACGGTCCCTCGTCGACGTTTCCAGGCTCGAGATCCCTTGTGTACTGAATTCCGGCGTGTCTGAAAAGAGAGAATTGTCTGTACCTAATATACGTAGTCGACAATAACGTCGGGTTAGTTGGAAAACTGATAACAGAGCGTCTCGACGAATTATATTACGGCTCCAATATTTATGTAAAGCTGGAATCTTATTTTACGCTCATCGTTTGTATGTTTTATCGCGGCACTCCGAAGTATTTTACAAGGGGAAATTAAATTTCGTGCTCGATCTCATAATGCTCATCTTAATTTAAGCGGACAAAGAACAGAAAGAACTTTTAGACAAAGAAGAGAAAATATTATTCTGTAATATAATATTTTAGTTTAGAATAGCAAATAAAATTTATTTTATAAAAACGTGGCACATATTCTTTAATAAAAAAAAATAACATGAAACATTATCGCGACTTTTCTGTTATTATTTACAAACGAAATATTGAAAACCTTATTATTTCTGTGAAGTATAATTTTCTGCATCGTTTTCCTGGAAAATTCAAGCAAGATAATACCTGCTAACGTGGCGTCATCAACCATAGCCTCCTCCTCCTCTTCTTCACCCCGGAGAATTACATTAAAGGAAGTCGTGCCATCTTCGAGGTCTTTCCTCCTTGTGACCTCGGTCGCCGATGTCGTCGTGGTCGAGATCCTGCCTCTGTTCTTATCCTCACTGACGTTCTTTGTTTGGTTTCTCGGTGTGTTCATGACCGGCTCTGCTCGGCTAAGCGCTCGTATCGTGCTGACGAGGTTGTGATCGTAATTCTGATTCAACAGGAACGGCGTGGCCACGCAAGACAGTACGATCAGCACCATTATAGTGGCCATCGTGTACTTGATGATCCTCGGCCGAGGCTTGCCGGAAGCCTGCGGGAATCCGCCGGACGAGAACTGATCCGTCTGCGGCAGTATCGTGTACTGCAGACTGGCATCGCCTTTCCGCACCGTTTTGTACATAATTATTCAACCTGTCGGAATGGAGATCTTGTTAGAGATACACGGCGGCGATCCTCTCAGCCAGCCGGAAATATATGGTTCTGTCAGCCGAATGGCCTCTCGTATTTATTTTCGCGAGCGCGACTATTCAGCACGGGATTCTGCACTGTACTTAATCGGAATGTTCAGTTTTATTGAGAAACAATAGCGGGGAAGAATAAGTCAACAATGTACAGCTTTTCAATTGAATTTATATCCTGGAAACGGAAATTAAATCAAATATAAATTTTATATGAAAAATTTTATTGCAAATTTAAAGTGTATTTGAACAATACAGTTTTTCTGGAAAATTATTTAACGGGCTCATAAGTAAAAATTTATAAAATAAATCTATTAAATAAATTCAATGTTTATTGAATAATATTTATATGAAATCAATTTTGTAATAAAATAAGTAGCAATTATTTTGTTTGTATAAATCGTCCGGTATTATGCAATAAATTATTTACCATCGTGCATCGTAGCAATTTATCGACTTGTTTTTACAGGATACTAAATTCAATGCAATAACATTCAGTAACACAGCACACATATAATAAAGTTATCACATCATATCTATATTTTCATGACAATCAGTTTGTTTGCACAGATATTATTTGACTATTTTGTATTTATTCAGATTTAAGATCCATTTTAGAATTGATATAATTTTGGCATTTATTTCATAAAAAATTAATTATAAAATACATCACGATAGAAATAGAGATTTTCACGGGATTTCACGGGAGACAAAAATATATGATACGCGCAAAATAAGTCATTCGTCTTTCACTAAAGCGTTACGGTGCAATAAAAAAAATTTCGTAAAAGAACGACGTTATAGCCCTGAATGGGCCAAACTGGTTTTATTATAATTGCAATTTTTATAGAAAGAAATTGGTAAGTCCATTGTCTAATCCTAATATTTACTCAGAAAAAACCGCATTTATTATTAAAACTTTATTGTTGTTATTAATTCAAAGTTTCTGTTTCCAAGGGAGGACAAATAGCATAATTTGTTTATTCTCTCAGTTACATAGGAATTAAATCGTGGCTGAACGTCACTACAGAAAGTTTTATGGATATATTAAATGTAAGTTTTATATAAATTTTATATAAATGCACCAAATAATGAAACATCACTAAACGTGACGTTTAAACGGCACTACAACGCAGAATGTCAATTTTAGATACAATATTTTGTACAATAGGAGACTTTTAAATATAAGAAATTGATAATAAAAGAAAAACTACTTAAAAACAACAGAAACAAATTTTCCAGTTTTATAATCGTTTCCATGAAAATACATATCTTATATTAGGATTTTTTTGTATCTGAGTGTGGAATATTTTCTAAATTAAACCGACGTTGGTGAAATTGGCCCTTAGTGTCGTATATACGAGATAGCAAATCCAGGAATTTTGAACCCAGAGAAGAGATCTTCTATTCTACAATCGGCTGCTCTAACATTGAGTTAGCTGGCATCCCGTTTCCATTTCACACGTAATTACTCAAGCTGTCAGAAAAAAATCTCATTGTGTAAAGCGAAGGAAAGGCAATAAATTTACGTATTCGCGTGAGCCAAACTCGCTAGTGATTATCATCATGTTTTTTATCTTAAGACTGTTTGCAAAATAATAAGACTCAATTAGTATCGAGTTTACAACTTTCTCGAAACAGTGAAGAGTTAATGAATATATTAAAAACTTTAATTAACACCGGCTCTACATTAAGGCGATATTTTTCTTCTTGCATAACAAACTATTTCATTAAATAGGTATCTCATAAGAAAGGAAAGATATTATGGAGAGAGAGAAATGAAGAATTGACAGAGAAATGATATTGAACATTTGCAAACAACGTTTCTTTTGTTAGATTGCTTTACAAGAATTTTATAAAATTATCATAAATATGTTTTTTTAAGTCGATTTTTAGCGTAATAATAACTTATATAGTTAACATGAATGGAATAAATTGAACAGTATTAGAAATAGAACTACTTTTCTGTATCTAAAGACAGTTTTAAAATTTTGTTATAAAAAAATTAATATTCCCATTCCCGCAATACTTGCTATCAAAGACGAGTTTTGAATTCGCAATAAAGTCGACAGGTCGCTTATGAACTTCAATCATGAAACAATGTTTAATTAAAATATAAATAAGCATAGCGCGGAAATGGAAAGTATTTGAATTAGCTCACACAAAAAGCTCTTGACATTTAAAAGCCGCATTGTTCAAAAGCATATCAACATTCGAAGATGTTAAAAGTTAAATATTTGAAAACTGAAATATTTGCGATTAATACCTCTAATTAATGAGCGCTTAATATATGCATTATTGAAAATAAATAACTTTGCAAAATACGAGGATTTTTGTAGGCATTTCTCTCTTACAGGTATTTATTGAATAATTCTTTGACAAAAAAGCGTCGATTGTTCAATATTAAAAAAGATAATAATATAAAAGTAATAATATAATAATTTGTAACAAGATAAATATAAATATAAATATAAAATTAAATATAATTTCTCTAATTATATATAAAGAGCTTTTAACACCACACATATTTAAATTTTACTTTTTAATATAATTAATTATAGAAACAAGCACCCTCGCAGTCAGCGTTATTAATGCCACGATGAAGTACACGCCTGGCGCATAAACACGACATGCCGGAAATTAGAGCCAAAACGGTCAATTACACTCCACTTAACCGGTGCCGACACCGACGGTGGCTTGTTTAAAAAAAAATCACCGAAGAGTTATTGAGCCTTGTGACGAACGAAGGAGGCCGGCGGTCGACGCTCAACATTTTCAAGCGATTAACATTTCCTAGCGTTGCTGCAGGCCGAATGTTTAATCGTGCACAAATTCGATAAAACATCAATAGCCTCTCTCGGAAGACAGATAAATTATTCTCGACGCGTCTGCCGAATATAAAGCTGATCCTCGCGAAGGAAGCGAAAACGGGGGAGAAGGAAAGCTATACGCCGGGAACGCGATCACAAGTGTATCGGTGTACTCACGATATGTGAACGGTATAGTCGAGGGTTCTCTCTTGATTTCCCTGCCGGCCTGGTGTGTCGGCGAATACACGACAATCCGGGACAGGCAGAACCTCGCCTGTGAGGGAAACTCAGCTGGAAAATGCGCAGATGCGGCTCGACGACGACGACGGGGTGCGCGCGTCGGCGCGTACATCGCGGCATCGCTCCCGACTGCCGGAAGTTGGTTCGAATATCTCTCGCCGAGAGACGGATGTCCGCGCGCGGGTTCGTGCGGGCCGGGCCAAGGGTTCAAGGACGAATCAGAAGGTGTCGACCGTGAACTTCTTTCGGCGCTTATGCCATCGAATTTTAGGCGTATTTTCGCCCGCGGCTTCGCCCACGCGCGGTTGTTACTAAGCGGGGGCTAATCGATAGGAAAACAGTTCCGCGTTTGCTGTTTGCTATTTTACGAATTATTGCATCGCCTAATAAAGAGATTTTAGTTGAAAATTGGGAATTTATTATGGCTTACTGCAGCTTATTAAATGACTAAATGTTCACTAGCATGAACGTTTAATAGCACTATATAGCAAATGAATTTTTTGATGGTTGCGCTTAAGTTAATATTTTTTATTATTTTAGCAGTAATATTATTGCAAAGAATCAATTTTATTTGCGAGAGATACATTTCTTCAATAATAATTAGAATATATTCTACAAATATAACGTCATGTGAATTCTTTATTTAATTTTTAATATATATAATATGTATAGCTCCTTGTAATTAATGCAATCAAATTTTTATTTTTAGGGCATAAATAAAGAATTGATATTTGTACTACATTTTATTGTGGTATAAAAAATATATGTAGTCTATCTAGGCCATAAAAATATGCTCAACATTTACAGAAACAGATTTGTACACAACAATGGAAGACATTGTTTATAATTGCGTGACGAATCACGGAATTAAGCTTTTTACGTTCTTACTCATGAAATTTAAGAACACAGTGAAGTTGAGTGAAGTTTTGGTATATCATAAAATCACACGTAATTACAGTCTCATTGCATAGTAGGCATCGCCGTCGACGACGCGATATCGGTAGCATCACTGGATCTCCATAGCTGTGTTATTGTCTTCGTTTGCGTGTGGAAATTTACTCCCTAAAATAAGATTAATCAAAGAGCTCTCGTTACTACAATATATTATTGTTATATTATATATCTATTATTTGTTCACAAAAATTTTACTCAATTATTATTTTCTGTCGTACTATAAATAGTATACGTATATATATGCGATAATAATGCAATTATTTATCAAAGACAACAATTCCAATTAAAAATGGGATATTTTTATCGCTTTTTAACTATTTTTATTACTTTTGATACGTTTCAGTTAGTTTCAGTAACTAATTGTAATTAGAAAATTATTTTTAAGAATTATAAGTATATGATTTATTTTGATAAATAGACCTGATTCGTTAAAATAAAGACCCACGAAGTTGCATGTACTCACGTATTTGCCGTAAAAGTGCATATCGCCGAGGAAGGAACCCTTGTTACCAGTGAAACTGAACATCGGTAGAGGAACGGGTATGGGAACATTAATTCCGACTTGGCCGGCTTCGATTCTGTTTACGAATGCCCTGGCTGTCGCCCCATTTGTCGTGAAAATTGCCGTGCCATTGCCGTAAGGATTTTTATTGATGATGTCGATGGCCTCGTCGGTGGTGTCGGCGAACATGCACGATAAAACGGGTCCGAATATTTCTTCCGTGTAACACTTCATCGTAGGCTGTAACGTGCATATCAAGCAGAGTGTGATATAAATAAAGTGGAATATAACCATGCAGTGTTAAATTAAAATATAACGTTAATTAAAATACAGCACAGACTTTAAATCTTATGAATCTTAAATAAGATGATTTCATGGATAAAACTCTCGTACCAGCTATATGAAGAATAATTTAACTTTTCGGTTTTTATTTGGGTGAGCAGGCTTTTCTCAAAAAGTTCCTAGTTTATTTTTTAATTCACAACGGTTTAAAAGCTTAAATTTTATTAATTTATTTTATTTAAAGCTTGAGTTTGATCAATTTCTGAACTAGCACAGCTATTGTACCTTAACGTCAGTTAACACTGTGGGTCCGACGAAATTCCCGTTTTCGTAGCCGGGCACAACGATATCTCGTCCGTCGAGATCCAATTTCGCGCCGTCTTTAACGCCGGATTCGACCAGCTCTCTGATCCTCTGCTTCGCTTGCGGCGATATAACAGGTCCCAGATCCGTGCCGGGCACGTGACCGGCGTTTACCTTCAACTTCTTCGCCGCCTCTACTAGTTCGGGTATCCATTCCTTGGATTTGCCCACGAAAATGGCCACCGAGAGCGCCATGCATCGCTGCCCGGCGGCGCCGAAAGCCGCCCCGGCGATTTGCGACAACGTTTTGTTCTTATTCGCGTCTGGCAGAACGACGCAATGATTCTTAGCGCCCATGTTGCACTGTACCCTTTTGCCGTGCGCGCTGCTCTGCTTGTAAATATACTTGCCCTGAAAGTTGGAGAATTTATTATTGATTTATTATTATCCGTTATAATATTGCCTCATTACAGCTTATTTTAATTAGAAATGTTTTTACCGCAAACTTTACACACACACAAAATATATTTTAACCAAAATAGACAACGTCTGATAAAAATAATATCTTAGAGGATAAAAGCAAAAGAAGAAAAGGCTCGATTTTGCGATAGCAGTGATAACACAATTTCGATTCTTGATCTCGTTTTTTATCTTCGCTTACCGCCTGATCGGAACCGACGAACGAGACAGCCTTGATGTCGGGATGCTCGCAGATGAAGTCTACAGCTGCATGTTGGCCGTGTATTACATTCAGAAGGCCAGCTGGTGCACCGGCTTTCGTGAAGAGTTCAGCGAGGATCATGGACGCACCTGGTACCCGTTCCGACGGCTTCAGGATAGCGGCGTTCCCGCACGCGACCGATATCGGAAACGACCAGAGCGGTATCATAGCGGGGAAGTTGAAGGGACAAATGGATGCGGTAATACCGAGAGGTACTTTGTACGAGATGATGTCCATGTCCGTGGCGATATTGGCCGTGGATTCGCCCATTTGCAGCATCGGGATCGACGTGCACGCATCGACGACCTCTGCCGTTAATTAAGAATCAATCGATATCCATCGCAGTATCGTTCATTGAATATTAATCATGATTACAATTTTAAATTATTATGATTACATTTTGCATAATTTTGGTCGACCCATTTCTTTTAATTAGAATTAAAATAATATTCGTGCATATCAGGGTAATTTCTTTCATATTTATTTAACATCTTTTATATTTTTATTCAACAATTTTGATTAAATCATTAAAAAACGTCGAGTTAAATAATAAATTAGAGCATTGCCTGATGTACATGATAATTTATATCACAGTTTGACACGATATACTTACGAAGACCTCGAAGCACATCTCCCTCCGCGTCAGCCATAGTCTTTCCATTTTCTTTCACGAGATTCGCCGCAATATCTTTCTGCGATCAAATGAGTAACACGTAAGAATAAGATAAAGACGAATAAGAGATGAAGATATAATGACACTGTAGCATAAAATATTTGCTACGATGCCCACACAACGCTAATTGCAATTGCCTAGTAGCGATAGTTCGCGCTGTTGATGTCTGTCTATAAGTGTCAGTAACTTCGCCTCGTTAATCATCGCTCGTTAATCACTTTTAATCCGAATATACGACGTGTCATCACCTCTCTTTCACCTCTTTCTCTACTTTTCCAACGTAATATTCCAACGTAATTAATTAGTAAAATACCTTGAAGTTTTAAGGTCTTAGAATTTAGAATTGATAAACTGACCGAGTGTTCGCGGATGAGAGCCTGATATCTTAGCATCAAATTTTGTCTCGTTAGCACGCTGGTGTGCCGCCAGCTCTCGTATGCCTTCCGTGCACTCTGTACCGCACTCTCCATCTCGTTCCTCGTGCATTTTGGAGTGCGGCATAACAATTGATTCGTCGCTGGATCGTGGACATCCGTGAACTCCGTGGCCTTTGACTCTGGAAAAAGAGTTTAGATTGACGTGATTTATATGTAAATTGTATTATTAAAATTATTTAAAATGTTCTCATTAATTAATGTGTAATTATAAATTTCTGTGCAGTAAATATTGCAATTTACCAATGTATTATTAACCTGACAAGAAACGACGTTATTTAATTAATATCTAATTAATGTAAAGTTATTGACACAATTCGTATTTCTCGTTAAAAATTTATTCTTCTTGATATCAACTTTTTATAAATAATTTATGCAACACATATCCTGATGGACACATATCCTCGCAAAAATGAATGTAAACATCATATTGTAATAACGTAAAGTGCACTTTGCTTGAGGATACGTGTAAATATCATCTTCAACTGATCCTACATTGTTTCAGAAGTATGAATATTTTCTCGTACGTCTGTCATGTTCGCGATGCACTTTGTTATAAATATTTAAACTGCATTTTACTCCAAATATGTCGATACATTGTCAATATATAGAAAAATATGTTTAAAATTTATCGATTAAAATTCCTGAAGGAAAGATCTTATTATTTTTTGTACAGAAAAACGTGTGAAAAAGCATATAGATAATAATATTTTACAGTACAGGAAAATAAGCACTTTAAGCGGAAAACTTCTTCTGTATTTATAAAATAAATTAAGAGAAATGCAAATAAAAAGTAATGAATCTTTATAATTATATAACGATAATTACCTATGAATTGTCCATCGATGTACATTTTAACTGTCGGGGCGGCATTGCTGTAGGATCTGGTTAAGCGTGTCTGGAATATTTTTATACTAATTGGTACAAAAAATATTATATCTCGTATTTTGGTTTAAATCATTTTTCCGTAATATACCTATATAATAACACGTATTGTTAGAAATTAATTTAGAGAAATTAATAGCGAATAATATTGTTTCAATCAAATGCGATTTAAATTAATTGCTGTCTATTAAATTACCTGTAATTAACAAAACTTTTATTTAATAATGTATAATATATTGTACTTTGAAAGCTAATGTGCATGTGAAATATGTACGTATTTAATAGTTAATATGAAATATAGATATTAATCTATTAAATGAATATTTATTATTTCATATTAAATATCCTTTATTTTATTCATAAACGTGAGAATTTGTGAAACGTTTCATTCTGCAATTTTATTTACCGATTGCACAATTGTACAATCAATATGCATTGGTAAGTGAGTAAAGCTGCGTCACTCGAACTATATGAATATCTTTAAGTTATAGGCAAAACATGATAGTGCTGCTTTCAAGTCAATAAATATATGACGGTTCACTTTTGCCGGCACTGTTTCGTCGTTTGTACATACTACACGAAGTTAAGAAGCTCTATTGCGACAGAAATTAGTAATGGTGTTTTTCTCCTTACAAACGTCATAGTCTGAGGATCAATTGGTCAGACGATTGTCACTTCGTAAATTTGATTAATGCACTGATGCATCCCAAACAATTAAGATAATATAAAAAGATTTTGCATCTTTAAACCGATTCTGACAATATATTTTATTTTAATTAAACAATATAATTGAAAAGAAAAAATAATTTATCTTGTTCAGATTTTATAGATATCAGATTATATCTAAAATAAACGAGAGAATATATAATTTTTCGAAAACAAAAAACAGTTATATTTATCAAAAACTCGAATAAATTGGAACTTCTAAAATGAAACAATTTTAACAATGCACAAATATATTTTATCAATATTCCCTATTCCAATATATTTGTCTGGGTTATCGGATTACAGATGTCTCAGTTACATGGTCATAAGTTGCTGATAAGCGTACTCGCTCATTTAGATAACATTTGCAGGAGCTAAGTTTAAATTTAGTTCTACCACACACGAAGATTTTTTTTTACAGAACAGAGCATTTAATAAAACTCGTATATTTACAAATTAATTAAAAATTATTACACAATATTTATTGTTTTACAAGTGAATTTAATATATCTATAATAATTTTTGGTTCGTCAAAAATTTACTTTCAAAAATTATAGTATAAACATGCAAAGAAACATTATAATACTGTTAGTGCGACATATCATTAATAAATTAGCATCTGGCATACAGATTAATTCATTTTTTATTCAAAGATCGCGTAATAGAGGCCAAGGTATTTTCTCATTAATATAAATTTTTAGAAAATAAACCAACAATCTATTTCATGTCACTCTTCGTATTTTATTAATTAATAATTAAAAACTTTGCACAAAGTATAAAAATATTACTTAAAAAAGGATATAATAAATTATTAACACAACAGGGGGCAAAGCAGAGGGTAATAAATAAAGACAAATATCACTTCACAGTTCCTCCAAATATTCATATTAATATATCGGAAGCACTCAATACCTAAAATATTCGCTGGTGCGAATATAAAAGTAGCCATTTAGAAATTTACAGAAGCGGTGAAAAAAAATATCGTCGGAGCACGAACAACAATTTGCAGATCGATTTTCGCGCTTTAACGTGGAGCTTTCGCAGTTCGTCGGATATCCACTAGATGGTCCGATTTCCTGCATGAATACGTTCAAATGCAGCTTGCAGCTGCAGCTGCGGGGCAACGAATTTTCAAAGAGCGTGGGAAATGACAGTCAGCGTACCGAGCGCGACGGCGACGTATATTTTCGTACCTCACACTTGACGATTCTCGCGAGGAGCGTCATGCTTTCGGTTAACACGTTCGACACGAGCGGCTTGGAACTGAATGATTCGTGTGGAAAAAATGACCTTACATTCAACCGACGTGGCACACGATGTTTTCTGATAAGATAATACATGTTTGTTTAGAACGTCTCCCACGATCGATGCCTCTGCAGCGATGAGTCGAACCTAACGACTCGAATCGCGTAAAGGAAGATAACAATTATTTTGTAATGCGATCTTATACTGAATTTTATTTAACAAAAAGTCGGCGGCAATGACGTATTTATTATTATTGTAGATTTCTCAATTAGATATGATGGATATACCAATAATAACAATTTTGAGATGCTTCTATTCTAAAATACATTTGAAAATACGTAGTTTGATGTACAGAATTTGAATATATTCAGAAAGTGCTGATATTGAAAGAAAAAAAGTGCTGGTATTTGAAAAGAAGAAAATCATTTGTTAGAAATATTTTTCTAAAAAGATTGTTATTAAAAACTCATTTACAAAATTTAAAAAAATTAAAAATATATTAATTTTCTGCACATAGTTTTAGTTGATTCTATTTAAAAATATTGGAAATAATTAACACAAGTCTAAGCATGACTTACTTTAAGTGTTACCTTTACCGGATAAAACGGTAAGTACCTAAAGACCAACTGTTGGAAACTTGATGGCAATGTCTGCACGAAGTAGACACATTGCTGGACTTTCAGTGCCTCAGATGTCGCTACAATGTTACATTGGACAGCTAATTTTTGATTATTAAATTTTTAATAATAAATATAATTTTATTTCGCTATGCGCTTTAATTTATTCGTAATTTCAGACGTATGTTTAAAAATGTGCAATTAGACTCAAACTATGATTAATTCAGTTTTAATATTTCATACAAACAAGGATGTATAAATTAGAAAAATATTACGATTAGAAAAAACAATTTAATATTTTGTTTAAGATTTTATAATACATTTTTTAAAATTTAATAGTTTTTATAAGATTTTAATATTTTATTAATTATGATACATCATAGAATTATATTCAACAAAATACTGAAATAGCACTAGCAATTAAATTTATATTATTAATTAGTTTTTAAAAGGCGATATTTTACATGCTGCGGTTATATGTATATTAAATTAAAAATTATACAATATATTTATGTATTATAGAATGTATTACATAAATTATACAAGCGTCCTCGTGCGTGATCAACAAGATTTACTATTAAAATATCTTTAAAAAGACTGCCATAAAAATATTGCAGAAATAAGATATTTACAGACCTCGCAAGATTTAAATACTCGTGATATTTCGTTTCCTGCTAGAAGAAATTTTTCGCGAAGAGTTTCGAGACTTGTATGTCAGGATGACTGATCAAGTCTGAAGCAAAAATGTTATAAACAGTATTTTTTTGTGCACATTCAAATTCCGCGATCGGCAGTGCGTGCGTAGAGCATTGAAGGCAAAAGCCAAGCTAACGATTGCCGGTCGTACACGTCATGTGATTATATGGGACTTGATTGGCGGACAATCATCGGAGGCAATGCGGAGTCCTACCCCGTTATGCTAAAGTAGACAGTCCGCACGACCGACTGTCTACTTGCACACATTTACGCGCGATTTCTAGATCATGCGGTATGGTGTGCAAGGAAAGTGAAATGCCCTGGAAACCCAGCTCGGAAACACAAACAAACCGTACGCTTCTCGTTAGCAATAATTATAATTTAGTGGTAGAACTTGTTATTAGACATTATAAATCAGACGACAATATATTGAACTCAGCGACGTCAACTTTCTAAATTTCCTTTCTAAAACTCTTTTCTAATTCCGCAGAAACGTTTGTTTGAATTTCTAGAGCTTCCGCACAATCTTGAAAGTTGCGTTTTTTATAATTATTATTATTTTTAAGGGCTTCAAACTTGATACTATATTGCCAATAACAAATTTTAACATTTACAATGTGCGCCAATTATTTAATTAAGTTTATTATTTAACTTATTTCAAAACAAGTATTTTATTCATTTAAAACAAGTATTTCATTCATTTAAATCATATTTAATTTATTTAAAACAAGTATTTTATTCATTTAAAATCATATTTAATTTATTTAAAAAAAATAACAATCTCTGAAAGATTCATGTTATAAATTTACACGGATATTTGAGAAGAAAAAATTGTAGATGTTGTTAAAATATAATATAGACGTATGTAATAATGATGTGATAAAAATTTAAATAAATTAAAATATTATTAACGATCATATATATATACGTTAGCAAAGATTAGTTCTAAACAGCGGCAGATTATGTAAGAATGTATGAAGAAGAGATGTAAAATATCTGTTATTATTCTTTCACTGAGATAGAATTTTAAAGAAGGAAAACGAAACATGTGTGAAACTCTGTACAAATTACTCATTAAACTCTGGCCACGAAGAAAGTTATAATTGTATATCTTCAATGAAATCTATAGTTTTTCTCAAGCGATCGAAAGCCTTGTTTTATGCACGAACGATCACTCGCAATTAATTACATATTGAATTGCCACTGAATGCCTGATCACCGTAACTTATAGATCGTAATACGAGATAATCGTGTGTATACAAAGCTAGAATCGCTATGCTTCCTGCTCCGAAACGACGATTTCGAATGCACGTTCCGTTCGTCGTAGTTCGCAGCTGTCGGTGGAATAATAAAAAGTGAAAAGCATTGACGAAATATGTGTTTCTCGTAAACGGGAGTCGGCCTGTCAGGTCGCGTGTGACATAACGGCGACGATAATCTCTTCGGCGCCAATCGCCGCGAGCGAAACGGCACATACACGGTTGTTTTCCACGCGTCATTATTGCGTTTCGCTTTGCGCGAGAATGATGCCGAACCCAGAGTTCTTCTAATCAAGCTACTTCATCAAATTGAATATTGTCGGAATAACAATTTGTTTATCATGCATCACGTTAATCGTTTTTAGCGATGTTCTCACGATTAGTTCCGTGTGGCTGCGAGCGATGTACCTATATGCATCGTGCAGAATGTATTGATTTATAAATTTGAAATATTTCTACTCTATGTGAATTTTGTTATCTTCGGCGAAAGTATTTTTATAATAATTCTCTACACGATAGAAAACAATAATTCTTTTGGACAAGATCTTTTAAGAGATCTATCGTTATCGCTGATAACAAGGACTGATAATTTAGATAAATAAATTTATACGTTTGCAATCTTTTTTGTGCCCGACACTTGAAATCCTAATACTTTTACGTATTATATATATTTATATTTATATTTACCTACATGCGAGATAATAATAAGATAAATTAAACAGATTGTTTTTATCGGATTGTTTTTATCGCAACGAAAGATATCGCTTAAACTTTATTTTGTACAATTCTCATGTAAGAATAAGAAATAAGATAGTGAATACGAAGATTGGCAAAGGATCTTTTAACCATAGCAAGTATTTGCATGGATAGAACGTATTTTAACGAACATTCATATTCATACTGAAAATATACGATGGTTGCTAACGCATCTACTTCTCTCTACTTGCCTACGAGAGTTTCCTGAGCTGAGTTGTATAAAGATTATGTTATCAGCCTGGCAAGGGATATCGTAACGCTGTTTTGTGACACGCTGAATATATTAAGTTAGTCGTACGATGCAAACCACTTTGCAAATTGTTTACAGCCTTCGAATTATTACTGTTTTGTGAATTAAAACAATATCTATCTTTGTGTGTGTGTGTATGTGTGTGTGTGCGCAAAAAAAGAACAGAATTGTTATTCATTCTACATGAAGGCCAAAGTTAGAAGTTTTTCTCACGCGTTAGATGTTAAGATGTACAGTATTTATAACAGTCAATAAGATTTTCAGTATAACGTAATACCTACAGTGGAAAAAAATTAGTTTTGTATGATCTTTGTTAATGATTCAAGTAAAAAAGTTTTGCTTTACGTCAAAATTAAAAATGATAGTAAATAGAAAGTTGTTTTGTTATAATTAAATTATTACGCTTTCGCAAAAAGATAGGCTATTTGTTTAAACAAAATAATTAAAAACAATATAATAAGATATTAAATAATTAAAGTAAGATCAAAATACATGCATAAATGGCAGAGAGATAAATGTAAATTTGTCTACGTTAAAAGAAATAGAAATCATATTCTTAATTATGTAAAAACGTGCAATATTAACGTGCATTATTAACGTGCTATTAACGTTGCAGTGATTATGTTAATTAGTAACGGAAAAAGAGCAGAAATACGAATTGGTGCAACGCAAGGTTGGCGCTGTTGCCATCTAATAGCATTTCCTCCTTGGCTCATATATCCACTACTTTACATATACGCCTACGTCTACTTGTAAAATAGAGCTACGTGTCCGATTTGAGTGAAATCGTGTATCGAGATCGGCGGACAAAATAAAGTTTCAGGATTAACGTTCGTGGTTCATAATTCTTGTTCTCGAAAAATTGATAAAATTATTTATATGCATTTTCTTGCATTAAACTTCTCATTACTTTTTCTTTCGAGCATATACTCGTGTAGTAATTAACGGCAAAATGCAAATTAAATTATTACGCTTGCAAATATATTCACGATAAAATTATAGCACGTGGAGTCACAGTAATATAATTGAAAAATAAATAAAACACTTTATAAATATTAAAATATCGCAATTATTTTAGACACTTTTTACGTGTCAGATTAAAGAGAAAGAGACAAGAATATCTCACAGAAAAACGTAATTACATTTTATGGAAAATGTTAAATGTATTAAAATATTTGTAGAAGATGGCACAATATGCACAATCTCATTTTTATGTACTTTTATTCATGACTTGTGATCATTATTCTGGCTGATTGCTCGATTGAGACATTGAGAAACGAGTGAAGAACATTCCGAACGGATCGGAACATTCTCGATTTCGGTATTAAGAGACTGTCGACCGCACAAACAACTCACGAACGAAATAAAGGTTTCGAGCTTAGAAAGGTTTCGATTCTAGGACGATCCCATAAAGAGACAGACGTGAAAGTTCGTCACCTATCCTAGACAAAGTAGAAAGTTTTTT